TGAGACTCCAGCTAAAGTCTGTCCCTTAGTGTCTCAATCTAAACACTGTTTCTAGTTATTAAATTTCTTCTGCAAGGGCCAGCATTGTGCTGCATTGGTTAAGCCACTGCCTGCAGTGCTGGCATCCCATATGAGCTCTGGTTCAAGTCCTGGCTGCTCCACTTCTAATCCAGCTCCCTGTTAATGCACCTGGGTAAGAAGTGGGAGCTAGACCAGGTGCTTGGGTCCCTGCTACCCAAGTGGGAGACCCAGATGGAGTTTCTGGAACCTGGCTTTGACCTGCCCAGCCCTAGCCATGGCAGTCATTTGAAGAATGAACACTCAGATGGAAGAATGATAGATCTCTTTTTCTCTCTTTCTCTTTCTCTGTAACCACCTTTAAGTAAATAAATAAATCTTTTTTAAAAAGTCTTCTGCAAGGTCAAGATTTTCAGAAAATCTCATAGAGAAATCTTGAGAGAAAGTGGTCAGACTAGAGGTTAAAGGCAAGTCTCAGAGTGCCTGAATTCAGTTATCAGCTTCTACTCTTGACTACAGATTCTTGCCAGTGCAGATCCTGGGAGGCACAGGTGATGGCTTAAGTAACTGGGTTCTAGCCCACCACATGGGAGAAGTGGATTGAGTTTCTGGCTCCTGGCTCCTGGCTCCAGGCCCAGCCCTGGTCATTGCAGGCATTTGAGGATTGAATCCACAGATGGAAGTGCTCTGTCCTGCTCACCTGTGTTCTCGTTTGCTCTCTCTCTCTCTCTGCCTCTCAAGTAAATAAAAAATAATTTAAAAATACGCATCAAGGTTCTTTACCAATGTTATTTACCACATTCAAGTACATTCACACTCACACACTGTATTTACTGTTTCATAATGTGAACATTTGCATATTTCCATCACAAATAGAAATATCTATAATATGCCTAGTTTTTTATTCTGTTTGAGCTAAACTGATGCATGGGTGCATTGCAAAAAAAAAAAAGCTGGCTGTTTTAAGAAGTCTTGAACAAATTTATGTACTGATCCATCATTTTAACTCTGTACGGGTTCATAAAATCCATGTTTTTAGTTATTCCTCTTATTTCAACACTACTATAAATATCCTAAATGTGACAAGGGAGAATATTTTAAATCAAGAAGAGTTCTTTGAATAACGGTAAACTGGAAATTACATTTACAAAATAACTAAATAAAACAAACATTTATGAAGTATCCAATGATATTTCTAAATGTCTATTCAGAGAATTGTAAGCATGCTAAATACATAGGATTTCTGCTCCTTTGTGTTGTTAGCTTCCATTGCAGTCGGTGAATATTTGACTAGAAGCTTCAGTAACAATACAGCTGACCAGAGTGGTAAATTAACCAGTGTCAATTAAATTGACTACTGTCATATGAGGCCTCAGATTTTTCCAGTAGTCAGATTTTTTTTTTTTCTTCGCTGATTCATTGTGTAAACAGGAACAAATCTAGTTCTTTGTGAAAAGCAAAATATCCCTTTAACTTGTCTACCTCTGGCCACTGTCTGTACCTCTTACAGTCAAGTTCCCAGCAAGCCTGGTTTATATCACCTTGTTTCTTTTTCTCTCTTTTTTGTTCAGACTACATTTTATTCTTTCTGCAGCATTAGAAACTGCAGTTTCTCCTTGAAACTCCTTCTGACTCCTGTAACATAATCACTTCTGATTTCCCTCTTCCCTTTCTCCCCTCTCCTTGCAGATTCCCCTCAGAGATACCCCTTCCATAGATTCTCTTTTCAGACTTACCATCTTTGACTCACCCTAATTCGTCTGCTTCTATTATTTAAATAAACCTTTTATTCTGATGAGTCGCTGAGCTATCTCTGGCACCAAATGTTTCCTAGCTTTCTCGGCTCCCTTAGGCATCTCAAATTCAAGTTTTCCTCAGGCAAACCTGTTTTTTTTTTTTTTTTACGTGATCCCCAATAGGTACATAGGTGTTTTCTGAATATGATCTCTGTGTGTGTGTGTGCTTTTGAGGGAAGAAGGTAGGAAGAAATTGGAAGAAGGAATTATTCTCCCCTCTTCATGCCCAGCTTCTCTTTCCAAAGCAATAGACAGCAGAGACATCTTCAGTGCCAGCTTCTAAACGGGGTACAATGACCCAGCTGATCCTTCCAGCCCTCATCTTTTTTTTTATAGCCAGAGCAAATTTATTCAGAGGAAATAAATTTGCAGAGGTGGGTGACCAATTGCCGATGCACACATTGATGAAACACGTGGCAGAAGGCCCCAGCCCCCAGGAACCGGACCTTTTTATATTTTAGGAGGGCTAGGGATGGTTGTGGAGGTAGAGGGCAGCAGGTGGAGGTGAATTCCAGCAACTGGTCTTTCAGGCCATCGGGGGTGAGGTGTGAAGGCAATAGGTTGTGAGACCCAATTGAGATCCAAGGGCAAGGAATAAATTCCAATGTTTATCTGTCTTTTGGGCAATGAGAGAGAATGGCTGAGGCTTATGTCTTTGTTCCATCAATCATGACTCTGAGTATAGATAAGGAGAAGGGGCATCAATTTCTCTAGCTACTTCCTGCAGATATGGGGCACAGACATGGAGCCAGGATTTGAGCAGGGGTCTATACTCAAGAATGGATTGATTGAAGAAGACAAGGATTCTTGTGTTTCTCCTGCGAGATGCCAGCCCTCATCTTTACAGAGAATGAGAGGCAGATCACCTTGTGGCTCAAAACCTCTAACATTTTTAATTTGGAACCACAAAATATAATGGTATAGCACCTAGAAAGTAATCAATAAATTTTTGTTGAATAAACAGAAACCAAAAAGGCATTATGAGAAATATATTGATGATTATTGAAACTGAGTAATGAATCTGAAATTTTTTCCAAAATACAAACCTTTTTTTAAAAAAAGGTTTATTTTATTTATTTGAAAGAGAGAGAAGGAGAGGCACAGAGAGAAAAAGGTCTTCCATTTGCTGGTTCACTCCCCAATTGGCCACAACAGCTGGAGCTCACTGATCCGAAGCCATAAGCCAGGAGCTTCTTCCAGGTCTCCCATGCGGGTGCAGGTGCCCAAGGACTTGGCCATCTTCTACTGCTTTCCCAGGCCATAGCAGAGAGCTGGAATGGAAGTGGAGCAGCTGGTACTTGAACAGGCACCTATATGGGATGCCGGCATTGCAGGCGGAGGCTTTACCCGCTACGCCACAGTGCCAGTCCCCAAACCTTTTTATAACATTTTAAAAGTACCATCTTGGGGCTGGCACAGTGGCAAAGTAGGCTAAGCCTCCACCTGCAACTTTGGCAGCCAGTTCGAGTTCTAGCTGCTCCTCTTCTGATCCAGCTCTCTGCTTATAGCCTGGGAAAACAGTGGAAGCTGGCCAAAGTCCTTGCACCTGTGCAGGAAACCTGATGCTCCAGGTTCCTGGCTTCAGATCGGCCCAGCTCCTGCCATTGTGGCCATTTGGGGAATGAATCAGCAGATGGGAGTGTCATCTCTGTCTCTCCCTTTCTCTGTCTGTAACTCTGCCTGTTAGTAAAATTGTATGGTCTTATTTGTGGCGCCATCTTGGGCTCTGGCCCCATTGCCATTCTGTACAATAAGCTTCATTCTAAACCCAGCCTGGCTAACTAGAAGTCAGGTGAGCAAATGGCCCAACCATAAGCATCAGCTCCACCCCCACCCTAATGGGATTTGTGGCTCCCACTTCCTCACCTCTGCAAAGCTTTATAAGACCTGCTCTCCCAGTACAGGCTGCTGTTCTCTCGTGCACTGGGAGGCAGCTTGTTGGGTTTCTCCCACCCCACAATAAACCTTTTCCCTTACTCTGGTGTTCGGTGTGTTTTGTGGTAGGCTTTCCTTTCACTGTCTCTTAAATAAATAAATCTTTTTAAAAATTACCATATCAAACATTCAAAAGAATTTTGAAATTTATTTATTTGAAAGGCTGAGAGAGAAAAAGAGCTTCCATCTACTGATTCATTACCCAAATTCTGGCAACAGCCAAGACTGGGCCAGGGCCAAAGTGGTAACCTGAGAACTCAATTCCAGTCTTGCATGTGGATGGCAGGAAACCAATTATTTCAACCATGACCCACTGCTTCCCAGGGTGTGCATTAGCAGGCAGCTGGAATTAGGAGTTGAGCTGGGACTTAAACCCAAGCTCTATGATATGAGACACAGACATCCCAAGTGGAGTCTTAACTGCTCCACCAAATGCCTGCCCCCTAAAACTTCTTTCAAATGCAAATTCAAGTCACATATAAACTACATTGCATACACAGCTAATAATAAATAGGAAGAATATAAAAAGTTCTCTAGTTTCTTTATTATTTAGTGTTCAGTTTTTTTTTTTTTTATTTATTTGAAAAGCAGAGAGAGAGAGAGAGAGAGAGAGATCTTCCATCTACTGGTTCATTCTCCAAATGCCCACAATAGGTGGGGCTGGGCCAGGTTAAACCCAGGAGCCTGGAACTCCATCCAAGTCTCCCATAAGACTGTAAGGACCTAAGTACTTGAGTCATAATCTGCTGCCTCTCAGGACACACATGAGCAGAAAGCTGGATTACAAGCAGAGTAGCCAGAATTTGAACCACACACTGATACAGGATGTGGGCATTCCAAGTGGCAGCTTAACCTGCAGCATCAAAATACCTGCCCTAAGAATTCTCCCCATTTTTAAAGGCAACAATAGTATCAGCATTGTTAGAATAATGAAGATCATGAGTATTTCAGTTCTGCACAATGGGCTGGCACACAGGACACACATAACACATGCAAATCCTTTACATTGTTTTCTGTTATTGGCTTTGGACTCTGCACTCAACAGTCTTCGGCTTTGGACTAAATGCTAGAAAGCAAAAGATCTCCCCTAACATCTCCCAGTGGCTTCATACAGCGATGCTTACTTGACACATCAAAGTTTAGTTTGTTTTGGAATATAGGAAAATCTCAATTAATTGGAAGGTGTTAGTTTCTCTGAGTATGAAATCAGTAACAGAATCTCTGAATGGAAGGATATACCTGAAAGCATACCTCTTAGTTTTCTTTGCATCCTTTCTCTGTCTCCCCAGCTGTACACAATTCCCTGGTATTCCAGTAAATCAAAGAAATAACTGCCAACCAAGTTATCTTCTAATGAATAAGACACAACAAGTAGATGCACTTAAAATGGCTGAAGAAGTGGAGAGGGCTGTTATAAGTAGTCACAGGAATGATCTGGAAGTAGAGTGGAAAGGTCTCAACCAAACTTTTTGACTCACTTCCCTGATCCTAATCACAGATGAAAAAGCTTATACCCAAAACTTCTGCATATTTGTCAGGGAGCCTGAATAGAGGGGTAAGGTGCTTGGATATTGGACAAAATCCCGACACCCATATTACACAAAATGAAATCAAATAGGATCATTTAGGAGTTTCCCTAAGTCAGGACAGCATCAGACACATCATCACTACTATACCTACCTGCTAGAATCTTTGGTTCAAAGGCACTTCTACAGCCTATAATGCTGAGAAGGTAATGACATCTTCCTGGTGACTGCCTGGATTCTTGCCCAGCCTCAAGACCATTGTTCTGCACATTGGTTCTTGTTGCAGTTAACTGTTGATAGGGAAAAAGTATGCTGCAAGGGGCTGAATATACCACTGAGCCTAGAAAATACCCTAGACACCAGTCATCTGAAAAATTAATGATTGGAACTCATAGTTAAACCTATATTCTTTAAGTATAAAATTATACGGGCCAGTTTGTCACATCGCTGGTAAAGCTGCCACCTGTAACACTGGCATCCCATAAGGATACCGGTGTGTGTCCTAGCTGTACCACTTCTCAACCAGCACCGTGCCAATGGCCTGGGAAAAGCAGTGGAAGATAGTCCAAGTGATAATGCCCCTGCCACCTCAGTGGTAGACCTGGATGAAACTCCTGGCTCCTAGCTTTAGCCTAACCCAGCCCTGGTTGTTACAGTTATCTGGGAGGTGAACCAGTAGATGGAAAATTTCTCTCTCTGTAACTGCCTTTCAAATAAATAAATGTCTTTTTTTTTTTAAGTAAAAAAAAATACACTTAACAAAAGGTTCTTTTACCATAACAGATAGTTGTTACATTTGTACATTTTACTAATTATGTCTTTACATAGTCTGTATTATTATATTGTGAATAAAAATGGCAGTAGGGTGAGGGGAGGAAGAAAGGGTAAGGAACATCCATTTGACTCACTGTGTATTGAGCAAATGTTCCTCAGTGCTTGTGAAACACCTTTCATGTGAGCAATTTGTGATTTTAATAAAAAATTTTTAAAATATTCTAAAGTGGGAAAAGATAATTGAATTACATAAATAATAATGTTATGTAAAGCTCTCAGTAAGAATTTCAAGTATAAATGAGGTGCAGAAATTAATATGTTTGATTGTTATTAGTGTAACAATTCTAGTACTCTGATTTGCCTAATAGACTGAAAACATAAAGTTGAGCCTGCCAATGGAAAAAGACACAATTAATTGTATGCTAAAGCAAAACATTTAAAAGAAATTTAATAATTTAATAATAAAGCTTCCATTTGTCAAGTAATTTATTGTATCCTGGGAATAGTGCCTACCTCTTTTTGTACTCTCCATTATTTAATACTTTCAGTTTTTATTTCCTGTTTTTGAGAAAATAAAAACTCACTGCAATCAACTTGCTGGAAATCACATTGCTAGTTAACAGCCATTCTTGGGTAGGAAAATGAGTTTATTTTATTCTAAAGTCTATATATTTATATGCTCCACAAGCCCACTATTCTGTAAGGAAAAGGACCAGTATAATTTGTTCTCCATTGTCACATATGACAGATCCAATAAATACTAGAAAACCTGCGCATGATTTTCAATGCCACAGTTTTGACTCATATGGTTCTTCACTCATTTATAAAAAATTGTGCATGGGTGTGTGTATGTGTTTTTTTTCTTTTTTTAAAAATTTTTTATGTGTGTGTGTATGTGAATATATATTGCTAACTTTAAGAATTAGGACTAATAGGAACTCAAAACCAAAAGGAAAAGCATGCACATTTGTAAATTCACACACTATTGCAATAAGTATCTTTACATAAAATTATTTAAGTGTTTTTCATTGTCAGTTAACATTCATTAAGCATGCTTTTTTTCCCCAAGGGCGCCTTTTTTCAAAAACTTATCTGAGTACATAACTGAGGTTTTATTTTGGACATTAACTTTTTCTTCTGTTTTGTTTCTTCTTCTCCTTCCTCCTCACTCCTCTACTCCCATCTAGGGCTTGGTTCTGTGGCACTGCCTCAGGAAAGTACATGGCAGGGAAAAGAGCAGAATTGTCAGCAAATCTTTTTTTTTCAATGACTTTTTTTTTTTTTTTAGATTTATTTGAAAGACAGTGTCCGAGACAGAGAGAGAGAGGAGAGGGAGAGACAGAGAAAGGTCTTCCACCCACAAGTCTTCCATCTGCTGGTTCACTCCCCAAATGACCGCATCAACCAGGACTGGCTCTGGGCCAGGCTGAAGCCAGGAGCCAGGAGCTTCAACAGGGTTTCCCACATGGGTGCTGAGGCCCAAGCACTTGAGCAAGCCTACGTTGCTTTCCCAGGCTCATTAGCAACGAGCAAGATGGGAAGTGGCACAGCCAGGACTCAAACCAGCACCCAGATTGGACGCAGGTGCTGCAGGTGGCTTAACCTGCTATGCCACAATGTGGGCCCTGCTAGCAAATTTTTCAGATTTTCACTTTTCAAAGGTGGAAGAGCAACTGAATACGAAAAGGCCATGAGAACAGAAACATGCAACTAAAATCCCTAGGGCAGAAAAGACTTCCTGTGCACCCTTCCTCAGGCACGTTTACTCCTAGGGTCTTCTTACTTAAGACAATGGGGCAGGGAGGGAGGCAGGAATGGTTTTAGTTAATTATTTTCCCACTAACCTGGCACAGAAAAAACTTACAAAATTCATTGCAGTAAATAAAAAGAGTAATGCTGCTTCACATGTGGATCTGTATTGAGATTCATACTCACACAATTCTTTTCCCTACATATTTCTCTTCTTAACTATCACACCCTTTTCCTTTTTTTTTTTTTTTTGTTTTAAGATTTATTTATTTATTTATTTGTAAAAGTTAGAGGGAGAGGGAGAGACAGAAAGAGACCCTCCATCAGCTGTTTCTCTCCCCAAATGGCCACAATGGCCAGGGCTCAGTCAGGCTGAGCCCAGCCAGTGGGGCTGGGAGTCTGTGGGCCCCTTTAGACACAGATAGAATGTTCTTCATAAGCAGGCTGCCAGCTGTGGCTGGAAAGCCTGTCTCCAGGACACCAGCATCTCCCCCGGTAATAACTTCTTGTGTGCAGCCTTCAATCACACCTTCAGGGTGGGTACAATCTTTCACTCAGAGCTGGTTGGTGAAGGGGCTGTGCACCTGGGGAGAGCTGGACTGGCTCCAAGAGACCCTAGCTATCTTGTGTGCCCTTGCGGTTTTAAGCCATGACTTCAAGTAAGTTGCAATGGTCCACCCAGAGCTAGCAGAGGGGGCTGAGCCCCTAAGGAGACAGTCTCCATGAGACCCCCACACAATCTCCTTGAGCTCCAAGCCAATCAACATACATATGTGAAACCCTCTGTCCAATGGGCACCCCCAACAGGATGACCCAATGACAAACAGTAATGCCTTAAAAAACAGGGACACGTCCTCAAAGCCAGTGTCCCACTCGGGCCGCCTGTCTCCTTTCGGACCAGATGCTCTGTCACTTGTCAATTGGATAAAAGTTTCTGCCCCTTTGCAAATTGTTTCCCGGCTTTTTATTTCTAAACTAAGCTGAGGAAAAGAACCCATAAGACTATCTTTGGCAACCGCCCTCCCTGCCGTGACCCGTGACACAGGCCGAAGCGAGGAGCCAGGAGCTTCATCCGGGTCTCTCATGTCACACGCTTTCCTTTTGATAAAAAAAAAAAAAAACTGTACCAACTTGTCTATTTAAATTTGTCTAAGGGGAAAAATTCAGAAAATTGATAAGGAGCCAAAAAACTACATAGTCCAACCCCACTACAGTAGTTGATAAATTATACCAAAAAAGCAAAATAAAACAAACTTCAATTGTTTCCCAAGCTCACCAAGAATTCTCTGGAATTTAGTAAACCACACACAGGACTTCATACACAATGAAAAACCAAACCTTAACTTTTTCCTGTCTGTTTTTAAAAAGACGGGGGCAGAACACTGCACAACTAGTAAACCAAACAGAACCGAAACTCCCAGTTCGTTCTGGAATCATACCCGGCTGACGACAGAGTGACCCGACCTGGACCAGGTTTGGTCCGTATTTGGTTCAGCCCGCCTCCAGTGAAGACACGCTGGGAAAGCCTCCAATGAGAAACCCTTAGAGGTAGGGGCGTGGCCTTAAAGGGAGGGAGAATTTGACGCTGGGTAACGGGAAGTGTGCGCTGATTGGCCGGGTTTCACACCTTTCCAGGCCAGCCCTCTTTGGACCGTGGAGACCATCTATCAAAAGGGCTACACCAATCAGCGGTGAAAATGCCTCCCTGCACGAGAGCCCCGCCCTCCAATATATTTCTGGGACGCGGAGGCACAGCCCCTTCGGCTCCGAGCTGACCCTCCGGAGGGCAGTGTCGTCTGGGCGGCGCTGCGAAGACCTCCACCCAGGACGGCTCCCCCTCCCCGGGCCTCTCCCCTCTCGCCCGCGAGACCCCTCGTCTCGTAGACCGCTGGAATCTGATATCGTGGGGGTGAGGTGAGAGCAGGCCCGGGGAGGGAGGTTACCACTGAGGAGCTGCAGCCGCTATCAAGGTGAGCTGGGACTGCGGGCTACATACACTCCTGGGTGCGGGTGGGATCAGAGCTGGGTGCGCGGGGTGACGCGTAGGTTCGGCCGGCGCTCCTTTGCTCACGAGCTTGCCCGCTACTGTGAGCGCAAGCCCAGGCTAGTCTGAGCCTTAGGGGCGCGGCCGGGTCCGTCCTCCTGTTTAGTGTCTCGTCCACCCAGCCCAAGGAGAAAGAGTTGGGTGCTTGAACTTAGCGGTTTCTCACCTTTCCAACCGTAAACATCCCTTTGGCTTCCTGTTATTAAATTGGTGTTAAGGTATCCCAGAAACAGGAGTGTTAAGCACCCTTAATGAAATTCTCAGGCTCATATTGCAAACTATGTTAGCCTTTCTCCTGACTATGTGATCTCAACGCATCCTTTGAATTTCCTTTCCTAACACCAATAAAAGAACGGTTTTTGAGGACTGTGTACCAACCTGTGTGCTGCACTCTTAGCGAATCGCCTCGTGTAATCTTCCCTGCTATTCAAAGAAGCAGATAGTGTACCCTCATTTTACCAATGTAGAATTATGCTCACTATTGTGAAATAATTTTTAAGAAAACTGTGTGCTAAGCTGTTTGCTTGACTTCATGTACACTATACATGTGTGGTTTCCCCACTTCTCAGAGGAGAAACTACAAAAAAATGGAGTAACTGGAATAGTTCATATTGTTAATAAATGGCAGAATGACTGCTACCATCAGATTTCAAAGTTTTAGTATCCTATCCCATCTTAAATAAGTGCCTTTTCATGGTTATCTATTGACAACAGCTTGAACAAGTGTTTCTTGAAGACTTACACTTTGTTTTAAAAAGGTATGATCCCAATCCTCTAGAAAGTCACAATTTAGGATATATCCAGCTTTTGGTGGGGGAGGGCACTTGACGATAATTTAGATTCCCATAAGGGGAGGTGAGACTTGTAATATAAAACATTCTTACGCACAAATCAAAATGGCCAAGGAAAGCAAAAGAGACTGCCCCTTACACTGTTTCTGGGCTTATTCTATTTATAGATGATAGAAGTACTGACAACAACTGACTCTCAGAAACTGCTACACCAGCTGAACACTTTGTTGGAACAGGAGTCTAGATGTCAGCCAAAGGTCTGCGGCTTGAGACTAATTGAGTCTGCACACGATAATGGCCTCAGAATGACTGCACGGCTGAGGGACTTCGAAGTGAAAGATCTTCTTAGTCTCACTCAGTTTTTTGGCTTTGACACGGAGACATTTTCTCTAGCTGTGAATTTACTGGACAGATTCCTGTCTAAAATGAAGGTATGTTTAAAGCTGTGTTATCCTGAGGATGAATTGTTCTTGATCCATGTGTTTTAGAGATAGAATTGCTAGCTGTTGGCGGATAACCATAATCTTGATCTTTTTAATTTTCAGTAAATAGCAGAAACACTACTGTAATCTTGTGTACTACAACAGTAAATATGCTTATAATGATCGAGAGTAATGCATTTATTACTTGTATTCTGAGGCAAATATCAAGTAATTGATTGCAGAGTTTTCCAGGAGAAAAAATAACTGCTGCTTTTAACAACCTTTCTAGAAAAGATTGGACATTTCCATTTATTTATTACAGTTTTTATGTTTTGTTAGAGGTCTAAAATGCTAGAGAATGTTTAAGAATTAGAATGTATTTCGTAGTCATTACACACATAAAGTTATAACTGTTTTGGCCACTATGGCATTTCCAACTTGAGTTTGCATGGAATAGAGAAAAGAGTATCTTCTAAAGGAAGAACTTTTACATGGTTATTTCCTTATTCTAGATAAATAATATATCTGTGTAGCTTTCAGGGCTTAAGTGTTAAAAATACATCTGCCTTCCCTGTACCTCACAATCTTGAGAACAATGAGATGATGAGACAGTTAGAATTAAACTCACTTTTCTAAGGCTAACACAATGCATCATGCATAAGAGGAACTCAGTATTTGTTGAGTTGAATGGTTCAAAAAACCTATGCAGCAGACATTAAATATCTCTTTAGATACTTGTATACATAGACACTATCTTTGGAATCTCTTAATTTTAAAAAATATGCATACCTGCCCTTCAAGTGTAACACAGTCTTACATGGGAATAAGATGGTTACATTGAAAGCTTATCATAGTACAAGTCTATTAAGAAAAACAATCACATGTCTTTAAATTGGCGTAAATATCTAATGAAAGGCTTACAAGAAAAAGAACAGGGAGCACAGATATTGATAAAAACAGTTTCATTTGAGCTGAAACTTAGAATTTTGACTGTATTAACTGCAGACTTTCAGAAATTGAATAAATGAAAAAGGGAGACTGGTAGTGAATAGAATTTTATAGACACAGTAAATTATGTGCTATCATAGATTTAAAAATTATTACATGTATTACTAAAATGAAACAACCTTAAAAAATACATCTAATTTCTGTAAAGAAATTTTGTGAATAAGCCATAACATGTTTTAGTCCAAATATGTCATTGACCAGTTAACTTGTTTACTCAGACTTAAAATTCTACAGTGATTAAAAACAAGAAGTTTTCTACAGTGAAGCCAAATTATTATACTAAAACTTGGTCCAGTTACTCAGAAATTGGTTTCAACTAGGGATCATAAGATGGACAGGCTACAGTTTAGCTAGATATTAAGCTTATCATACTTGAGCAATACAGCTGAAAGATAAATTCATAATTTTAGATCTGAGTTCTAGGTTACTCCTTATGTTTACTAATTGAAATAAGGTTGAAATATGGGCTTACTGTTATGTTGTTTTTTTTGTTTGTTTGTTTTCTTAGGTACAGCCCAAGCACCTTGGATGTGTTGGTCTGAGCTGTTTTTATTTGGCTGTAAAATCAATAGAAGAGGAAAGGAATGTGCCACTGGCAACTGACTTGATCCGGATAAGTCAGTATAGGTTTACGGTTTCAGACTTGATGAGAATGGAAAAGATTGTATTGGAGAAGGTGTGTTGGAAAGTCAAAGCTACTACTGCCTTTCAGTTTCTGCAACTCTATTATTCACTCATTCAAGAGAACTTGCCATTTGAAAGGTATGTGACCTATGTTTTGAAGATAGAGGTTTAGAAATCATAGTGATGTTTGGTTTCTGCATTAAATCAATATCCTCATAGAATTCTAAAGAAAATAACTGAAATGACAGCTGTTGTCCTGAACTTTACTGTCAAGCATAAGTGAGAAGAATTGGTTTCACGAAGGCTAATTCTTGGGATTAAAGGACATTTCTTTCTTTTTTTTTTTTTTTTTTTTTTTTTTTTTAAGATTGATTTATTTGAAAGGCAGAATTACAGAAAGGCAAAGGCAGAGAGAGGGAGAGAGAGGTCTTCCATCCCCTGATTCACTCCCCAGATGGCCGCAATGGCCGGAGCTGCGCCGATCCGAAGCCAGGAGCCAGGTGCTTCTTCCTGGTCTCCCAGGTGGGTGCAGGGACCCAAGGACTTGGGCTATCTTCTGCTGCTTTCCCAGGCCATAGCGGAGAGCTGGATTCGAAGTGGAGCATCCAGGTCTCGAACCAGCACCCAAATGGGATTCCAACACTGCAGGTGGTGGTTTTACATGTTATGCCACAGTGCCAGCCCAGGCCATTTCAACTTTTTTTTTTTTAACTTTATTTTATTTTATTTTATTTTATTTATTTGACAGACAGTGAAAGAGAGAGAGAGAAAGAGAGAGAGAAAGGTCTTCCCTCAGTTGGTTCACCCCCCAAATGGCCACTGTGTCCAGAGCTACGCCGATCTGAAGCCAGGAGCCAGTGCTTCTTCCTGGTCTCCCATGCAGGCGTTCAAGCACTTGGGCCATCCTCCACTGCCCTCCCGGGCCACAGCAGAGAGCTGGACTGGAAAAGGAGCAACCGGGACTAGAACCTGGCGCCCATATGGGATGCTGGTGCCACAGGCGGAGTATTAGCCAAGTGAGCCACGGTGCTGGCCCCTACCCACTATGCCATAGTGCCAGCCCAGGACATTTCAACTTTTATAAAACCTAGTATGTAAACATTTCCCAGAGATTTATGGAAAAAGGAAATTCAGTAGATACAGAAATAGGTTTGGGGCTGGCGCTATGGCACAGTGGGTTAATGCTCTGGCCTAAACCACTGACATCCCATATGGGCACCGGTTCTAGTCCTGACTGCTCCAATTCCGATCCAGCTCTCTGCTATGGCCTGGGAAGGCAGTAGAAGATGGCTCAAGTCCTGGGGCCCCTGCACCCACGTGGGAGACCTGGAAGAAGCTCCTGGCTCCTGGCTTTAGAGAGGCGGAACTCCAGCTGTTGTGGCCAAATTGGGGAGTGAACCATCGAATGGAAGACCTCTCTCTCTCTCTTTCTCTCTCTCTGCCTCTCCTCTCTTTGTGTAACTCTGACTTTCAAATAATATAAAATAAATCTTTTAAAAAATAGGTTTATTAAAATGAAAATAAATGTTGATACTTGTGGCATAATACTGTTTTTTTTTTTGGCTCAAATCATTTAAAACTCATGTATGGTGCTCTGATGCAAGACAGATTGTTTCGCTATAGGAAATGTCGTATGACAAGTGTGCATAAACTGCTCTTAAAAATGTTTCTTCAAAAATGTCTCTTGACTAGCTGTAATATTATCTAAGTAAAATTAATCTTGTTTTCTTTTTAAAGGAGAAATAACCTTAATTTTGAAAGACTGGAAGCTCAACTTAAGGCATGTCACTGCAGGATCATATTTTCTAAAGCAAAGGTAAATATTTATACAGATGAAACCTATTTATATTGACAAATTCAGTATTTTCCATTTACTTTAAATTTATCTCTTTCAGCCTTCTGTGTTGGCTTTGTCTATCATTGCATTGGAGATCCAAGCACAGCAGTGTGTGGAGTTAACAGAAGGAATAGAATGTCTTCAGAAACATTCCAAGGTATGTCAGGGTCATAGCCTAAATCCTAGTAACAGCTGTACAAGAAACTGAACCACTTGCATTATCTCCTGCAGTAAAATGAGATGTGTGTTTATTTGAAACTATTTAGCTACTCCAAATTTTTTTTTTAATGAGGAAGGATATATGTCCTTAAGAAGACTGCATTTATTACTATAAATAAATACAGTGAGACTTTTATTTTAATTGAATTTTTTTTTTTTTATGTACAGATAAATGGCAGAGATTTGACCTTCTGGCAAGAGCTTGTATCAAAGTGCTTAACTGAGTATTCATCAAACAAGTGTTCAAAACCGAATGTTCAGAAGTTGAAATGGATTGTGTCTGGGCGTACCGCACGGCAATTGAAGCATAGTTACTACAGAATAGCTCACCTTCCAACAATTCCTGAAATGGTTCCTTAATTCATGAATTTGGATCATTGTTATTCTCCATAAAGGAAATTATCAGTGCTATAATTTTCTTTTACAATGGAAGAATTAAAATATCATTTCTCTTCAAAGTAAACAAAATGGAGTTGCAATAGCAAAGGGGAAGTTTCTACACTGATTTGGTCAGCTAATATTTGAAGACATTTAGTATATACAGAACCCTAAGGGTAAGGAATTATCTAACCTCTGATATGTATGTTAGTCATTTCATTAATCAGCATAAAAAAAAGTATGTCCTCAACAACCCAAGTTTTGAAAGTAGCATTAAAATCATATTTTCTTATTGAACATCATCTTGCTCTCTGAAGACCTAAACTCTGGCTCATTTAAAGATACACTAGCTGAGTAGGACAATAGGACCAAACTTTTGGATATTTGGACTAATTTGAGAATGTTAGCTTATAAGTAAAATCAGTATGAACTTTGATAGTGTATTTAAAGAAAAAGAAGATACAGCCAATCAGTCTTGATGTTGGGTGTCTGGAAACTGCAAGGGCGTCTCAACACTGTAGTTACTATAATATTTGGAATTCTGGGAAAGTAGTTACATGCATAAAAGATAAACTTGGGGTCACTGGATATATATTCTTGCCATTTAAATTTCTTAACTAGTAATAATGATTTACCTTTTTCCATTCAAAATTAAATTAACATTTAATATATCTATGATTATGAAATTTAACCTGAACAGTTAGTTCACTTTTAATAGTAATATTTCACAGATGTCTGATAAGTTGGGTTTTTTTTGTTGTTGTTGATTTAAGGAGGATTATTGCAGCAACAACAATGAAAACTCTGAACCCTACAGCCCTGAGCTATGGATTCCATGATGTTTTCATGAGTTTAAATTTCAAGCCTTAAAACTTTACAACTAGATGAATATGATGTTCTTATGCTTGGGGAAACTGCCTAATTAGTATTATGCTATAGTGGAATTATGTTTAGATATAAATTCATCTATGAAGCAGCCAAATCAAAGTTAAAAGCATAAATATGAAGCACTAATCACAAGCTTTGGAAAGTAAACTGTGAATCTTCATTTCTTAACATTGATTTAACTTTCTATATTTGATTGATATACTTAGGTAGTATTGAAAATGCTAACCTACATAATTTAAATGTTTTAAATTATGAGGTTTTCATCAAAATAACATTTCACAAATGCACTTTTAAGATACAACAAAGGTTAGTGTTTTAGGCGGTTTAAATGGTTTTCTGTTACCCAAAATGCGAATAATGTAATCCTGAGAAGGGGACACAAATTTGAAGGCATTTTGTAGAAAGCAAAAAAAAAAAAAAACTTAGTAAGTTTGGCAAGTTCATAATCTTTAATATTTTTTCAAGAAAACAGATGATGTTTGTATGTGTGATAAGATCTTTTATATAGAATCTACTGCCCCAGTCTAGTCCAATCAAGAAAATTGTTTTCTATTTTATTAGTTGCTCAAATTATCACTCTGAGGACTTTACTCCACTAAAGTAAGTTCAGACTAGATTTAACACTCCAGAAGTCTTTACTGAGTATTGTTTTCAGAAAATTGTCATTGCTTCTAATTTAGATTAGAATAATATTCTAAAGAATATGCTTTCACTAATGCCCTTACTGCATCTTAAGAAAAGTCAGTCGACACCTTCATAAGTAGATCACTGAGGCAGTGTTCAAGAAACAGTCTTCAGTCAGTCAGTGAATGTAAGGAGGTGTATAGTGTGACGGTGTCATGGATGATTAATGGAGCAGTGCATAGCCTGCGTTCATTCAGAGTGGCTGTGATCATTTCTGACATGATGTTGTGGACAAATACGCAATAAAAAATAAAAACCAAAGAATCACAGCGTGTATTACCCTTAAATTTTATAACCTGTGTTTTTTGGGTAACTTCAGTTTTCCCAAAAGGCTGGTAATATTTCAGTTATTTGATACATCAGTGTTAACTTTGAGTTGGCAGAGGTAACCTAACTAAATGCCATTATCTTTGGTACTAAGTGATATACCTTTCAATAAAGTTATTGAAATGCAATCCCTTGCTGTGTGGTTTTGATTCATTTAAAAATTTTTATTTTTAAAATTTATTTAAAAGAGAAAGGTATCTATCTTACATCCACAAATAGTACTACCCAGATACATTCAACAGCTCAGGGCTGGGCCATGCCAAAGCCTGGTGCTTGGAACTCTTATTTGGGGTCCCCATGTGGGTAACAAGGATTGAAATACTTGAGTCATACCCTGCTGCCCTGCAGTGTATATATTATAAGGAAGGTAGGATCAGAAGTGGAGCTGGGACTTGAACCCATGTCCTTGGATATGGGATGCAGGCATACCAAGCTGTGTCTAAACTGCTGCATCAAACACCTGCCTCATGATTTTCTTCTGATTTAATTAACTGTTTTACAGTATGATGGCAAGACCAGATAAAAAGCTCTCTTGGGACTGGTGTCTTGCACAGTGGACAAAACAGCTGCCTGCAATGACAGCATCCCATAGGGGTGCCAGTTCATTTCCTGGCTGTTCAACTTCCTATCCAGCTCTCTGTTAATGTGACAAGGAAAGCAGCAGAAGATGGTGCAAGTGAAGTGCCTGGACACATATAAGAGACCCGGAAGCTTCTGGCTCCTGGCTCCTGTTTTCAGCCTGGGCTGTGACCATCTGGGGAGTGACCCAACAGATGGAAGATGTCTACCTCTGTGTCTCTCCATCTCTCCGTAACTGCCTTTCAAATAACACCAATCTTAAAAAAAAAACAAACAAAAAAAGGTAAAAAAAAAAAAAAAAAAAAGCTACCTCTTAGTGAACTTAAATTTAGCACTAAAGTAAATGCAGGGAAACAAACAGTAAAATCATTTATTTATTTATTTATTTGAAAGAGTTACACAGAGAGAGGAGAAGCAGAGACAGGGAGAGAGGCCTTCCATCACTGATTCACTCCCCCATTGGCCACAACAGCTGGAGCTGCGCCAGTCCAAAGCCAGGAGCCAGGAACTTCTTCGGGGTCTCCCACGCGGGTGCAGGGGCCCGAGGATTTGGGCCATCTTCTACTGCTTCCCCAGGCCATAGCAGAGAGCTGGATCGGAAGTGAACCACCAGGGCTTGAACCAGCACCCATTTGGGATGCTGGCACTGCAGGCTGTGGCTTTACCCACTATGCCACAGCCTCAGCCCCAGTAAAATCTTTTAGTAGTATGGCTATTACCTAATTAATACTTCCTGGCGATTTTTTAAAAGACAAAGATGGTGAGTGAATATGCGTAATGTGCATTAAAAAGTTGATGTTTATGCATTATTCATTTTTATCATTTAGATCAGTCACTGCTATAGATGAATATGCTTAATACAAATTTATTCACCTAAACTTTTGTTCAAACCATTACCTGATTAATGGCAGCCCAGTGGGTTACTTGATAATGATGGTAATTTCCAATATAAGGCAACCTGCTGGGGGCCAGCGGGTAAAGCCACTGCCTGCAGTGCCAGCATTCCATATTGGCACCAGTTCCTGTCTCAGCTGCTCCACTTCCAATCCCGCTATGGCCTGGGAAGGCAGTGGAAGATGGCCCAGCTCTTTCGGCCCTTTCACCCATGCCGGCGGCCCAGAAGAAGCTCCTGGCTCCTGACTTCAGATTGGGGCAACTCCGGCTGTTGCGGCCATCTGGGGATTGAATCAGCGGATGGAGGATCTCGAACTCTGTCTCTCTCTGCCTCTGCCTCTCTCTAATTCTGCCTTTCAAATAAATAAATAAATAAATTTTTTAGAAGTTAACCTGCTTGAATCACTTGGTAATTATTGAATCTCAGTATGTGATTTTTGAAGTATTTTTGATTTAACAAGACAAAAGTGGACATTACAAAGGGGTTACTGATGAAAGAGAAACCATTATTAAGCCTCCTTCTGAATGTGATTCCATTTAGGAATTTTTAATGACCCTCCGCCTTTTTCACAGTGTTAATATTTTGTAAAAAGATGTATTTGAGGGGCCAGCACTGTGGTGTAGCAGTATGGGTGCCAATTCAAGTCCCAGCTGCTCTACTGATCTAGCTCTCCGCCATGGCCTGGAAAAGCAGTAGAAAATAGCCCAAGTCCTTAAGCCCCTGCACCTGGGTGGGAGACCTGGAAGAAGCTCCTGGCTCCTGTCATTGCCACCATTTGGGGAGTGAACCAGCAGATGGAAGACCTCTCTCTCTCCTGCCTCTCTAACTCTGGCTTTAAAATAATCAATAAATCTTAAGAAAAAAAAAAAGGTATTTGAAAAGCAGAGAAACCATCCGTTTCACTCCCCAAATGCCTACCATAGCCAACCCAAGCTAGAAATCCATAACTCCATCTGGTCTCCCATATGGGTGGCAAGGACTCAGATTTGTAGCCCATCATCCACTGCTTTCCTGGACTTATTAAGGAGGAAGCTCAACTGTTAACAGAGGAGCCTGGGCTCCAACCAAGCACTCCAACATGAGTTGAGGCATTGCAAGCAGCAGCTTAATATTTTAGCACAACATCCAACCCCCTACATCCTTTTTTTAGAAAGGTACCTGAACCTCATACGTATTTTCAGTTATGAGACACACTATCTAAAATCCACAGCTAATTCTGATCTACCATTTGTTAGTGATAATGATATTTTGTTATTGCCAGTTACAAGTACTAGATGTTTTATATGAATAAGGTTATCCTAATTTACAAAGAACCAAAGGATCCAAATGACCTGTGTCTGGTCACAAATTTAGTACTTAGGAGTGGGATTAAATCCAGGCAATTCTGACTCAAAGGGCTGTGCTCTGACAGGTCTGCACAGCACCTTCCAAAATGGAGGATTAATTGGATTCATGTGTAATTGTTTAACTGCCAAACCAAACTGTCCTGTCCACATTAACTTCAGTACTCTCATCATGATCATAGAACAGTAATAACTAGAGAATTTTTCTCTAGTTTATACTAATAATTTTTATATTACGTTCTTACACAATGCTTATAAGTATGAAACAATTTTTATAAACCCAAAACAGTAAACATAAGTCAAATAAGATGAATAAAATATAAGCCAATTTTTATAGTAATTCAACAAAATGGACTTAAGAGCAAATTACCAAGGATAAAAAGGGATATTAAGGATAAAAGAATCAATTCAAGATGACTTGACATTCCTAAATATGGAAGCACCTATTATCACATCTTAAAAATGCATGAAACAGGAGCTGGTGCTGTGGCGCAGCAGGTTAATGCCCTAGCCTGAAGTGCTGGCATCCCATATGGGTGCCGGTTCGAGACCTGGCTGCTCCACTTCCTGTCCAGCTCTGCTGTGGCCTGGGAAAGCAGTAGAAGATGGCCCAAGTCCTTGGGCCCCTGCACCCACATGGGAGACCCGGAGGAAGCTCCTGGCTCCTGGTTCTTGGCTCCTGGCTTCGGATCGGCGCAGCTCCGGCTGTTGTGGCCAATTAGGGAGTGAACTATCGGATGGAAGACCTCTGCTTCTCCTCTCTCTGTGTAACTGACTTTCAAATAAATAAATAAATAAATTTTTTTGGAAAAAAAAATGCATGACACAAAAATTAAAAACACTATAAGGAGAAAAGGACAAAGCTTCATTGATAGTTGGAGAATGAAATATTCTTCTGAGTATTCTATAAAATTGCTAGAAAATTGGCAAAGACATAGAACTGAGTAGCAACGAATGTTTTCACTGACTTAAAACATTTCATCCTAAAATAGCAGATGCAGCATTCTTTCAAATGCATATGGAACTTTTACCAAGATAGACCATAGCCTGGGTCTTGAACTTTAATAAATTTAAAAGAACTGAAATCATACAAAGTATGTTCTCTGGCAATAAACTAAAAGTCATTAAGAGATGACAAGAAAATAAAAATGCTTCGAAGTTAAACAGGCTCCAAGGAGAAGCCTTAAAAGAAAATAGAAAATACTTTATACTGAATGAAAAAAAATCTCACAAAATGTGGAATGTAGCTGAACCAGAGCATAGAGAGCAATTTATAGCATCAACTACATTTATTAAGAAGATGAAGGGCCTAAGTCATTAAGTTTCCATTTTAAGAAATCAGAAAAGAGATTTAGAACCCAAAGCAAGCAGAAGTAAGTTATATAAAAGGAGATGGGCTAGAGTTGTGGCACAGCAGGTAAGGCTACAGCTTGCTGCTGACATCCCATATGTGCAACGGTTCCAGTCCTGGCTACTTCACTTCTGATCCAGCTCCCTGCTAAGGTACCTGTGAAAGCAGCAGAAGATGGCCCAAATATTTGACCCCTACCACCTACATAGGAGACCCAGATGAAGTTCTAGGCTACTGGTTTTTGTCTCGGCCTTTGAGGCCTTTTGGAGAGTGAACCCACTTCACCTTTCAAACAAATATTTATAAATGAGTGTCCTTTTTTAAAAAGAGAAAAATGAATGAAATAGACAATAGCAAAAAGTCAATAAAACCAAAAATTAGTTCTTTACAAACAGCAATAAAATTTATAAACTTCTAGGAAAGCTGACAAAACAAAGACATCAATGAAGAGGAGCCATCACTATAAACCCTAAAGACGTTAAAAGAACACTAAGAAAACCATGAACAAACTCTGCACATATTTAGATGAAATGAACCAATTTCTTGAAAGATACAAGTTACCAAAACTTAAATGAATAAAAAACCTGAGGGGCCGGCACAGTGGCACAGTGGGTTAAAGCCCCGGCCTGAAGCGCCCACATCCCATATGGGCGCCGGTTTTAGTCCTGGCTGCTCCTCTTCCGATCCAGCTCTCTGCTGTAGCCTGGGAAAGCAGTGGAGGATGGCCCAAATCCTTGGGCCCCTGCACCCACGTGGGAGCCTGGGAAGAAGCTCCTGGCTGTTGGCTTCAGATCGGCACAGCTCTGGCCGTTGCAGCCATCTGGCGAATGAACCAGCAGATGAAGGGTCTCTCTCTCTCTCTCTCTCTCTCTCTGCTTCTCTGTAATTCTTTCAAATAAAAATAAATAAAACAAATCTTTAAAAAAAATGAATTAAAAAACCTGAATCAGTTCTATTATTTTTTAAAACTGAATCTATTATTTAAAACTTACTGGCAAATGTGTACAACATTTAAAAAGTAAATGAGCTATTTACAAATCTCTTACAAAGCAGAAAAATCATTTTCCAATTCATTTATGAGGCCAGAATTAACACAATACCAAATGAAGGTAAAGAAAACATATGTGAATAAAACTGTTGGACAATATTCCAAATGGACATAAGACATGGAAATCCTCAAATGAATTTGGATGCATAAACTAATACTCCATGACCAAGTTTGACATGAGAGGTGAGAGATACAAGCTGTTTCAAAATCCGAAAAATCAATGTAAGACATATGAACAATTTAAAGAAGAAAATGATACAGAAAATGCATTTCAGAAAATTCCTGAGAAATTCAGCTAACTAGGATTAAGCATATCTTTCTTGAACCTGATAAGGGAAATGTATGAAAAATCTATAGCTAGCATGATTCTTAACAGTGAAAGAAAATGCTTTTCAAACCATAACAGGGGCTGGCACTATGGCATGGAAGGTTAAGTGTTCGCCTACAGTGTGAAACATATGGGTGGCAGTTCAACTCCCAGTTGCTCTACTTCCAATTCAGCTTCCTGCTAATGCACCTGGAAAAGCAACAGAGGATGGTCCAAGTCCTTGGGCTCCTGCATCCACATGGGAGACTGAGAAGAAGCTCCTAGCTCCAGACCAGCTCAGCCCCAGCCATTGCAGACATTTGGAAAGTGAATCAGTAGATGGAAGATCTTGATCTCTCTCCTTCCTTCCCTGTATCTCTGCCTTTCATATAAATAAATAAAAATAATCTTAAAAAAAAAACACAGAACATAAAGTTGGCACCATCTCCCTCTTATGTCTAACCAATCAAGCAAGAAAAAGATCTATAGACTAGAAAGAATAAAATAAAAATGGTCCTATTTATGGTTTATGTAGAAAAGACAAAAAATCTGTAACAAAAACTCCTAGAACTAATCATTGAATTTAGCAAGGTCAAACGAATACAAGGTCAACAAACAAAAATTAAACATATTTATATTAGTACATACTAGCAATGTGCAAATGGAAAGCCAAACTTCAAGAACAAGACTCTTTAGGGGCCGGCGCCGTGGCTCACTAGGCTAATCCTCCGCCTTGCGGTGCCGGCACACCAGGTTCTAGTCCCAGTCGGGGCGCCGAATTCTGTCCTGGTTTCCCCTCTTCCAGGCCAGCTCTCTGCTGTGGCCAGGGAGTGCAGTAGAGGATGGCCCAAGTACTTGGGCCCTGCACCCCATGGGAGACCAGGAGAAGCACCTGGCTCCTGCCATCGGATCAGCGCAGTGCGCAGGCCGCAGTGCGCCGGCTGTGGCGGCCATTGGAGGGTGAACCAACAGCAAAGGAAGACCTTTCTCTCTGTCTGTCTCTCATTGTCCACTCTGCCTGTCAAAAAAAAAAAAGAACCAAAGAGGCACTAAATGGAGAGATACCCCAAGTTCATAGAGGGGAAGATTCATAAAATTCCATTCCAAACCCCTGTAGGAGACTTTTTTAGTTACAGAGTAGCTGATTTTTAAGTTTTTATTTATTTTAAAAACAGAAATAGAGATTCCCATCTGCCGTTTAATTACCCAAATGCCTGTAAATGCCAGCTCAGGCTGGGCTAGGTCAAAGCCAGGAACCAGGAACTGTATCCAGTTCTTCCACATGGGTGGTGGACTTAAGCACTTGCTTCCAGGGTACACGTTGGCAGAAAGCTGGAAACAATAGCAGATATGTGACCCAAGCCTATGAACTCTATATAGGACATGGGCACACCAAGTGGTGTCTTAACTGCATGCCAAATGCCCATGCCTAGTTTAGCTGATTGTAAATGTTATATAGAAAAGTAAAGAAATGAAAGGACAATTTTGAAACAAAATGAAGTTTGAAAACTAATGCTATTGAATTTTAAGACAACATAAAACAACAATTAAGGCAGTATGGTACTGATGAAAGGACATACAGGTCAATGGAGTCCAAACAGATTCACATAGGTAACAAGTAATTATTGAGAGATACAAGACAATTCAGTGGGAGAATGGATAGCCTTCAACAAATGATTCTGACAACTGGATAACCATATAAAAGAAAAAATGCCCTGCACCTAAACTTCACAGCTTACAGAAATACTAACTTAAAATAGGTCATAGAGCGCAGCAAAAAACCCAAAATCACAAAACTTGCAGAAAAATGAAAAAAAAAAAAAAAACCTTAGACCAGAGGTTAAAAAAGTTCTGTTATGACATCCAAAGCATGATCCAGATCAAGTGTTTAAACTAGCAATTAAGACAACCTACATCAGAGTGTCTGGGCTGCATTATCGAAGGCAGTTCTGACTCAGTTCCCCTGAATGCGGACAAGGAGTTAGCAGTGATCGCTCAAGTGGTTGAGCCCCTGCCACACACGTGGGAGACCTGGGCTAAGTTTCTGGCTCCTGCCTCCAACCCTGATTGGAGGTTGAAGGAATTTGGGAAGTAAACCAGTGAATGAGTACACTCTTATGCACAGTCTGCTTCCCAGATACATTAAAAAAAGCAAAAATTTTTACAAAACATTATCCACTGATATGATGAATTAAAACTTCAATAAACACTTTAGCACTCTAAAAGATACCAACAAAGTGAAAAGGATTCACAGCATGGCAGGAAGTACTTACAAATCACAAATCTGATAAGGTACTTGTATCAGAATATATAAAGAGGGGGCCATCACTGTGGCACAGCAGGTAGCGCCGCTGCCTGCAGGGCCAGCATCCCATATAGGCGCTGGTTCAGGTCCTGGCTGCTCCACTTTCAATCAAGCTCTCTGCTATGTCCTGGGAAAGCAGTAGAAGATGGCTCAAGTTCTTGGGCCCCTGCACCCTCATGGAAGACCCAGAGGAGGCTCCTGGCTACTGGCTTTGGACTGGCGCAGCTCTGGCTGTTCTGGCCAATTTGGGAGTGAACCAGCAATGGAAGACCTCTCTCTCTCTCTACCTCTCCTCTCTCTGTGTAACTCTTTCAAATAAATAAATAAATCTCAAAAAAAAAAAAAAAAAAGAATAAAGAACTGTTACTACTAAGGACAACAGCCCGATTAATAAGTGGACAAAGGATTTGAATATTTCTCAGTGAAAGATATACAAATGGTCAATAAGCACAAGAATGGTTGGCAAAATTAATCATCAGGGAAAGGCAAGTCTAAACCACAAAGTTATTAAGTATCCACTAGAATGCTTAGAATCAAAAAGGCAGGTAACAACAAGTGTTGACAATCACGTGGCAAAACTGAACCCTTGTATACTGCTGGTAGGAACGTAAAATGATGTAGCGACTTTGGAAAACACTTCAGTAGTTCCTCAAATGATCTAACATCCATGCCAACTTAAAGGTTTTCCTCCTAGTTAGAAATGAAAACACATATGCACATAAAAACTTGCACACAAATGTTTATAACAGCAATATTCAGCATACTCTAAAGGAGGAATTACTCTTACAAATGAATATACAAATGTGATAACAGCCATGCAATGTAGTATCCAACTAAGTATTACATGCTAGAACATGGTTGAACCACTGACACATTAAGTGAAAGCAAGTCACCAAAGACCACATATAGTTCCATGTATATGAATGTTCGTAACAGGGAACTCTGACACAGAAAGTATATTTGTGGTTGTTTGGCTGGTAAGGGATGTGGGGGAAAAGAGTGGGATAGTAACTAAAAAGTTTCTATTTAAGATAAAGTCAGTGATTGCATATACTATATATCATACACTGTAAATGGATAAATGTCTATGAATTATGTCTCAATAAAGCTATTTTTAAGATTATATGATTCCATTTATATTGCTTAAAAGACAAATCTATAAAGACTATGTCATGATTTCCAAGGTTTATGGGCTAGAAGTAGAGTAACTTCAAAGAGATAGAAGAAAGGCATTTTTTATGGTGACTGAACTGTTCAATATCCTGAACATGAAAGTATTTACATATATCTATACTTCTGCTAATATTTACTAAAGCATACACCAGGAAGCTAATATTAATGTATGTATATATTCCAAATATTTTGCAAATGTCCAAAATATAAGTCAATTAAAAAAAGTTATTTCTAAACAACTGATTTGGAAAATTATTATATAAAATGAGTAAGATCAGCATGACAGGGTAGATGGACTACAGTGAGAGGCACAGGTTGGGTGTTTAAGAACCAAACAGGGTAAGCAGAACACATTTCTGTTTGGCATAGGATGTTGGAGTCTCACAGAGCAAGGAAAGCATTTATTTCCCGGGGAAGATGATGAGATGACCTACAGTGCAGAGTCAAATATATCAAGAGTAGGAATCAGGTTTCTCATTGCTATTGAAGGAAGTTATAAATACGGAAAGGGAGAAAACAAAAATCAACCTCCTAGAATTAGAACTGAAAGCTTAACTGTGAACTCAGCTTTCAATACATTTATACAGAAATATAGATGTAAATATATGCATTACTAATGCACATCAACAGCAATTACACATTAGCACCTGGATCTTCACTTTCAAATACCTTTATTACCTAAAGAGAACCCAGACTTCTTGGAAAAGAATGACTGATTCTTAGGCTGGCACAGAGAAAACATAATGAATCTGGGATATCTTGCCAGAAAACAAGAAATTAAATAATAAAGACAAATAAAGAAAGGAACATCACAAAAGGACATAGAAGCCACTTAGAATAGTACAAATGTGTAACAATTATGAGCATCAAAGTAATAAGAATAGACTTTTAAGCCACAGAATAAAATAGAAAATCATGAATCCAGAGGTATAAATAGATTCAAATTCTGATGTGAAAAAGTTAGTATTTTAGAACTATCTGCTCACAAAATAACTATAAACATAAAAAGGAACTTTACAAAGAAGTCTGACAGATATTACCTTAATCTGTGATCTAAATACTACCACTGGAAATGAGATAAATTCAAATTATTAATCCATGATAGGATGTAATAACACATGGTCATTTCTTTAACAACTGCCAAGAATGCATAGCTTAAATTTAATTAAATATTAGACTTCCTGATTTTAACAGCTGCATTGCAGTTATGTAAGATAATGTCCTTCTTTGAAGCAAATACACTCTAGATTTTTCAGAGGTGATGGAACATCATGTCCTCAACTTATTCACAAATGGTTCAGGAAGAAAAAAAAATCTATGTAATTTACTTATTGTATGTTTTCTGTGCATTTGAGATTACTTTTAACAAATTAATTTTTTAGAAATTAAAAAGGCTGAAATAAAATTTCAATGATTCCCTCTTGTATGTCTGGATTAATGAAGGTCAAAATAATACCACTAACAATCAATGACCTTAATATGCTTTCTCCACTGACAAAAGACCCACCCAATAATACTTACTTAGATGCTTCTCTTTATTAACCCACTTCTGCTGATATGTTTTTACACTATTTTTTAATTTCGTGATATAATCTAAGAATAATACACTAATGAAGAAATTCTCATTAATTCTTAAAACTTACTCAAAATATTTTGTGGATTTTTATCTGGCCTTAAAATTTTTTCAGTACTGTAATTTCCTGCATGAGTTAGTATACTTAGAAAAAGGGGTACACAATTCCTATATAGAAAAGTTTATTGAACATTATTCCTGTGTCACACTTATCAAAAAAAAATTTTCCTTGAAGGCACCCTTTCATTTCACATGATCTGTAACCTAAGGTTTTTTGTATTAAAAATACAATTAATATGAAATTAGTAAAATGCAATATATAAAACTTCATGCTGAGCAAAAACAAGTCCAAAAAAAGTTACCATATATTCATAGAATAGTTCCCAGAGTACATGTTTCCTACATAAATCATATTTGAATGCAATTTTTAGAACCATAATTAAATATATTTTTCCATTTGTTAATTGGAGGCATCCATATTTTCCTTCTGCCACATGATCTGCTTCTTTGATTAAACATCTGCTAGGATCCACAGAATGCAGCAAAAACACTGGTTATTTCTCAAGGGTTGAGAAATCTGGTCCACCTTTAGTGTAGTTTCCTGAGATTTCTGCTCCACTGAAGTCAAAACCAGGATTCTAAAGGAGATGAAAAAATTATAAAAAAAAGTAAGGAAAAATATTAGTATGACCTGGCAATTCACAAAAAAAAAATCTAAATGGCCAATAAATACATGAAAGGACATCAAACTTCACCATAGTCACCAAAATGGAATTTAAAATTATGAAGTATTTTTCGACTTTCAGATGTATGAATATTTAGAAGTCTCACATGTCTATTATAATGCTGGCGATTGTATGGGGAAACACAGTTCATTATCAGTTGTGTAAAAAGATTTTAATATCTAGCAATTTTTGAGAGCTTGCTGTATACCACAAAAGAGTTTAAGAGTTACATGTATATTAACATATTTAATTTATAATTTAATTATAAAATGCTACCTTAAGCTTTAGCTTTTTTGTTGAGCAAGTTCATTTATTTAACCATAAATTACCAGTGCAAGAGTTGGCAGTTTTCCATAAATAACCAGTAATAAATATTATAGCCTTTGCAGGCCCTCTCACAAACTAATGTTTGAAAATACTATATGAACTATATATAATAAGTTAATATTACCAGATTGTTCTGGTAAAACTTTACCTACAAAAAACAGGCAGTAGGTTGTATATGACCAATGGGCCATAGTTTGCCAACCCGATCTAGTTTGTTAAAAGTTGGTAAGAGCTAAACGGAAAAAAAAAAGTAGTACAGAGTAACAGAACAGGAGAAAATTGCAGTATTTTAATGAGATAATTAAAGTATGCTTCATTGCACAATGACTTGAAAACAGTGAAGAAGTTAGCCAAGACAAAGGAAAAGAGCATTCTAGCTAAAAGACAGTAAAGGAATGGGTTAGCATTTCAAGAAACAGCAAACATGGGGCCAGCATTGTGGCAGAGAGTTAAACCGCCTCCTGAAATGCCAACACCCCATACAAGTGCCAGTTTGTGTTGCAGCTGTTCCAGTTTTGACCCAGCTCCCTGCTAAAGTGCCTGGGAAAACAATGGAGGATGGCCCAAGTGCTCGGAAGCAGCACATGGGAAATCTGAAAGAAGTTCCTGGATCCTGGCTTCGGCCTGGCCCACGCCTGGCCATTGCAGTCATCTGGGAAGTGAATCAGCGGATAGAAAACCTCCTTCTCTGTCTCTCCCCTTCTCTAATGCTTTGAAAATAAATAAAATATGTCTGATAGAAAAGCCAAGTAGAGGGGGCTGGTGCTGTGGCGCAGCAGATTGATGCCCTGGCCTGAAGCACTGGCATCCCATATGGGTGCCGGTTCCAGTCCCAGCTGCTCTCTTCTGATCCAGCTCCCTGCTATGGCCTGGGAAAACAGTAGATCTTCCAAGTCCTTGGGCCCCTGCACCCACGTAGGAGCCTGGGAAGAAACTCCTGGCTGCTGGCTTCAGATTGGCAACGCTCCAGCCGTTGCAGCCATCTGTGGAGTGAACCAGCGGATGGAAGACCTCTCTAACTCTCTCTGTAACTCTGTCTTTCAAATAAATAAAATAAATCTTAAAAAAAAAAAAAAAAAAAGAAAGAAAGAAAGGAAGGAAGGAAGGAAGGAAGGAAGGAAGGAAGGCAGGCAGGCCAAGTGGAGATGTTGAGCAGGCATTTGGATATAGAACCCAAAATTCAGTAGAAAAGCCTAGGCTACAGATATAATTTGGAAACCATCAAAACTTTAAAAATGCTTTGATCTAGTAATTTTTCCCAAAGAAATCTATCTTAAAGGTATCTACTTGAACACTTCAGTAGTTTCAAATGACAACCCTTGTTTAAAGTTGACAATGGAAAGGATGACAGTTAACAAAATAATTATGTTACATCCAAACTAGAGAAGACTCTGAAGCAGTTAAAAGGAATGAGATTTAGCTGTTTGTACTACTTAAGAGCCAAGAAACGCCATTAATTTAAAAAAAAATGAATAAACAATAAACGCAGTGTGATTTCCCCCATTTATGTCAAAAAGGAAATAACCTACCAAAGAAGTCAATCTGAAATGAAAGTAAAATGGAAGAATGGAACAGGAAAGGTGACAGTAAAGGGGCCTTTCACTTTTTTAACCTACATAAGTGTACACTGATGTAAGAATTTATAAATTACTGATGCATATTAAGCAAAGTTTATCTCAGAAATAACAGCAATAAAAATAAAGTACTCTCAAGAAAACCTTTTAAAAAATTAAATCTATATATTTTTCTAATCATTTACTTTAAAAGGTAATTTAAGAATTTCTGCAACTTTTATAACCACACTTGAATTTTAATTTTAAATAACGAAAAGTATTCAATGATTTTTCAGATATTTAAGCACATATTCATATATCCATCTGACTTACTTCTTTCTGGAATCTCTCTAATGTAAGTTTTCTTTGCATTTGGTCTTGCACCCAAGGATCAGCTGCATATTCAGATTCTAGAAGAGACGTCCAACAATTTGCCGCATCTCTCTTTGTCTTTGTAAGAACAATACGAACCATTTTTCTATCCTCTGAAGTAAAACACCACCACAAATAAAAACATTAGTCCATCATTAAATTTTATATTTTTCATCAATCATTAGGTAATCTTGACATACAACTATTTCAACACAGTTCTATTACTGTATCTTTCAAAAATGCAAATACAAAAGTACCTAATACAAAAGAGGGTAAATATTAAGACCCAAGGTAAAGTTAATTTTGTAAGTTTCTGAGGATTATGGTAGATCACTCTTACCCAAAGTCCATGTGCCCTCATCAGCAATAGTAGAATCAAAGAGTTTGCCCTGAAAAATAAACATATAAAGTATTAAAAACAAAGCATTGCATTAATTTCTATAAAGCTTTCATGATTAACATAGTTATTTTCCTATCTAATCCATATCTGTACCATTTTATCACATTTCTGAATTGAACCCTATGCTTCCTCCTACAGAGTGAAATAGAGCTTAAGTTACACTGTAATACTTACACCACCAGGTTCTTTCAAAAAAATAAAAAAACAGACTTCTTAATTTTTACAATTTAGAAATACTACTGATTCCTGACTGGTCAAATGTGAAGTTAACATCTGAAGTCTTGAAATTTCACCAATGACAATAAACTATGAGAAAGGAACTCTCACTAAAGCTAAAAAGAAATGCTGTATACTTTTAGGGGCAGGTATCATGGGGCAAAGGGTTAACTAAGTCACAGCATAGGATGCCCACTACCATTAAGCAGAGTTAGTTGCCTTGTTCCAGTCCCCATTACTCTGCTTCTGATCCAGTTTCCTGCTAATGCACCTCCTGGAAGACAGCAGATAACGGCTCAAAAACTTGAGTCCTTGCCACACATACGGGAGATATAGATGGAATTGCTGGCTCCCAGTTTCAGTTCATGCCAGCCCTGGCAGTTGTGGACAGCAGATGGAAGACATCTCTCTCTCTGCCCTTCAAAAATAAATAAATAAACAAACATTTCCAGTAGTCTTTTAAAAACTGATTGTCTGTTGTGCAATTAGCAACTAAAAATTGTTTAAGCTGTAGATAGGACATCAAATGAGCTGTAACAATTCATTTAGCAAGAAAGCAAAATATAATTTTAAGTGAGTCAGTAAGCTCAAACTCATTTTAATTTGCTGCCAAATTTAAGTACCATGAAATGAAAATCTCAGCAAAATATACATAGCTTCTAATTTATCAATAATAATGAAAGAAATCCTAATAGTATGTACATTTAAAATCCTAGAGGTATTGCTAAATTCCCAGTTACTGTTATTATTATTAGATGCATTTTTTTTCTTAAGGTTTACTAATATATTTGAAAGACAAAATCGCAGAGAGAGAGGGAGAGACAGAAAGAGAGTGCATCCTTTGGTTCACTCCCCAACTGGCAGAAGCTGCTGGGGTTGGGCCAGGCTTAAGTTAGGAGCTTCTTCCAGGGCTCCAACGTGGGTGCAGGGGTCCAAGCACTTGGGCCATTTTCTGCTGCTTTTCCAGGCACATCAACAGAGAGCTGGACAAGAAGTGCAGTGGCTGGGACAGCAACCTGCACCATATGGGATGCCAGCATAGAATGCCAGGATCCCTTCCCCGAAAGTAAATTTCAATTGTAATTTCAAATCATCCCTCAGACAAAAAAAAATGTAAAACCCTTCAGAAAAGTTATTAGGATTCAGCTAATACAGTCAATGTCTTTCACACGAATCCTCTGAAGTACTCAGGGCAGTTCTATATAAGTAGAATAGCCAAGATGTACTGTCAATTTGTTACACACTGGGCACTACTCCAAAGCCTTCATTCATCACGGGTACTTGTAATGCTCACAACAGTCCTATGAGAAACTACTATAATAGTCACATCTTGGGAAGACTTAGAGACACTTAATAACCTTTTGCACAAGGTTATGAAAACAGAACACGAGTGGAGCAACGTTTTTCTATCCAGCTGTTTCCTGGCACCAAGACACTTCAGTCCAACATCGCTGGCACCTGAGAAGGAAATTTAATTCTAACTGGTTAACTGAGTTTAAGTTGAGCCTTAACACGCGAAACACAGGTCCTGGATCTAAAGGGCACTGGTGAAAAAGAATAAAAGGGATATTATTTTCTTCACACACCTCTTCAACGTCTGCTTGAACACTCCACAAACATACTGCATTTTTCGAATTTAAGTGAGAAAATTAATTACGGGACATCATCTCTGATGTCACCCTACATCCCATCATCTACGTCCTTTGTTCCACCCGGTTAAACTTCCCCACAAAAAGCTATGCTCTTTGGGGCGGCAACCCCATCTGTCTGGCTCTCCTCCTGTCACCTTGATAAGTGCCTGTCATAGGTACGATAAATACTTGTTCCTGCAACAATCTGGTTAATCGATTCCTAGCTGAAGACCCTCAGAGGAATTAAAAGTGGCAGCCTGACTTGGTTTGGAAATAAAGCAGAAAAAGGAGCTCAAATTGCCACAAGTCAGGACTTGCCCTGAGGGTAGGGGCTCCGACTAGACCAACAACCAGGAACATTTTACTGTTTTCTCTTTCTGCCAATCCGAGGAGCCGTCCGGCCCCGGAAAGCCGTTCCACAGAAACGACGAACTTCTAGGACTCGTAGAATTAAAAAAGTCGGGATGAGGGAAATGAGCACAAGCTCCGACCTGCCGCTACCTTGAGGATCTCGCGGCCACCCACGGCCAGCGCCACATGCCGGCTCTGCAGGCCGCACTGGATATCCTGGGCGCGAGTGCCTGGCGGCACCTGAACTTCAATGAACACCTCCTCCAGGGTCTGGTACCACTGGCCCCACGGCGTCCCGCACGGTACCACCCCGCTGCGCTCTTCAAACGGGGTCGACATGCTCCCGTCGCCTCCGGGCACAAGCTGCAAAGAGCAAGCCGAGCGCACGCGCAGAAGCCCCACGCCCAGTTTACGTCCGGGACCCTCCGCTCGGGTCACTGCACATGCGCAGGAACCCAAACAGGTTCCTCGGTTTGTGTTCGTCTTTCCCTTTCAGTGGCCATTTAGGACGCTGAAAAGACCCAGATTGAAAGAAGTGAAATCCAGAAACGTTGCCACCCAAAGAACATTGGGATACGCTCGGAATCAGTGAGGAAGGAACTTGCAAGACTGTCACCTATGTGACGCCAGAATGCACGCTCAAACTTCTCAGTGCGCTTGCGCAAAGGCTGCTCCTACAATTCAGTAATGCCATCAATGACTGGGCAGACGACAGGAAACAGTAGTAGTCTGCTATTGGCTGGTAACGAAAACGCACAGGCTTCCTAATTGGACGCAGTACGAACCTAATACGCATGCTCATTCTTGTTTCCCATGGGGGATTGGTCCAGCCACGGTTTTAGTATTCCAATTGGCTAACGCAGGTAGTGGGCGGGGGATGTAGGGGGAAGTTTGAATTTTAAACGAAAAGACAGCAAGAATTTGAAGTCAGTTGTCGGCGAGTGTCGGTGGCGTTCTGTTTGTGGACCGGGTTGTCGGCATGTCCTTTCCTAAGGCTCCCCTGAAACGATTCAATGACCCTTCCGGTGCGTACTGGGGGAGGAACGGGGAAGCAGAGACCCTCCATTGCCTCTTGGTTCTGTACCTGGGAGGCAAGGAGGAGGCGAATTCAAAGCTGGGATAGGGCTCCTTTAGTTTACTTTTCTCAGCTATGTATAAGAATCTGTCACATAAGCAAGCACTACTCTCGAAGCGTAGAGTACGGAGAGGAGACCCTGCTCGATTCTGTCAGAACAGCTCTGAGGAGAATTCAGAGTCAGCTGAGGGAATGGTGATGAGGCGTTGGTAGCTGTTAGCCAAGACCGGAAAGTCCTCGCTGATTACAACAGTTGAGTATTTTCGTGTGACCCTGAGGATTTCTTTTAGATAGTCCATTTGGACTTTAAAGAAGAAACATTGATTTTAATGATCTGTGCTTACTTTAAAATTTATTGTATAGGGGTGAAGTGGTCATCTTTCCATAGTCCCACTAAACTAGACTATTTTTTCTTTTTAACTCTTGAACTTTATTTGGTGGACAGTTAAGCCCTTTAGTGTAAATTTAAATATTATATCAAAATACGAAAAAAGTAGGAGGGAGGGAAAATTATTATATTCGTTCAGTGGTATTTATGAAATGTATTGAATCTGTTAACTAGAAATTAACATTTTTTTTTCAAACGATTTAAAGTTGATAAAGACCGTTCACTGGTTTAAAGTAACAGCAGTACCACTTACTGAAAACACTAAAAATGTAGTAATGACAGTCAATACTGACCACTTACCATGTACTTCAGGGGCCATACTAAGTATTTACATTGATCAGCAGCTCTTTTTTAGTTCCCCCACGATTCTAGGATAGCATTCTATTTGTTATTTTGATGATAAAAACGCTGGTACTTAGATTTACTCCATTTGTTAAACAACCAACTTGTCAAAACTGAGATATGAAATCACACCTGAATGCTTTCTTGCTTTTATTTATTTATTTTTAAGACTTATTTTATTTACTTGAAAGGCAGAGTTATATGGAAAAACGGAGAGACAGAAGTCTTCCATCCGCTGGTTCACTTCCCAAATGGCTGCAATGGCTAAGGCTGGGCCAGGCTGAAGCCAGGAGCTTCATCTAGGTCTCCCATTTGGGTGTCATCCTCAACTGTTTTTCCCAGGCACATTAGAAGGGAGCTTGATGGAAAGTGGAGCAGCCAGGATTCGAATTGATGCCCATATAAGATGCCAGCACTGTAGGCAGCAGCTTAACCCGAAGTGACACAAAACCCACCCTATTCTTCCTTGCTTTTAACCACTGCAGTACAGAAGCACAAGAAGCAGAGAGACTTAGATGTGGCTATAGGCAAAAATCATTTAGTGGATGCTAGCTGTGTATGAGACTGCTAAGATTAGCTGTATCAGATCTTGTTTATTCCTTTCAACAGCCAGTTCAACAAAATACTGATACTGTGCTCCTTGTACAGATGAGAAAACTACTGAGTAGCCAGTAAGTAGTAGAGCTAAACACCTATGATCAATCCATTATACTATATCCTAGTTAATGGTCACTCTTTGCATTAGTAATTTTTTTCAGCCAACTTGCAACTGGAAGTGTGCACAGCTCTGCTCACAAAGGTAGCCCAAGTGAGCAAGTAGGTCAGCACAATCTTACTTCCTTAAAGGATTCAGGGGTCATGTTATTTCCCAGATAGTCAAAAAACCAACTCAAGTTCTGTCACCGATGTGGTTTTAAGTAGAATTAATACCAATCCTACAGTATTTCAGGTTCACGGTTTTGGGAATGATGAGAGTTACTTATTTAATGGCTCAAAATGTGCCAGACATTATGATGATATTTCATTCCACAAATCCCCACAATACCATGAAGTACTACTTTTTATTCCTGCTTCATGATTGAAGGACCTGAGCTTAAAATAAAAGTAACTTTCCAGGGCTTTTTAAAGTTACACTGGAAAAGGGGAGATTATTATGTTCTTATTCCCTCTCTCTCCCTGTGTCTAAATGTATTTGGCATATAGTGATGTCTGGTTTTTTTTGTTTGTTTGTTTGGTTGGTTGTTTTTGTAATTAGATTTATTTGTCTGAAAGGCAGAGAGAGAGGGAGGGAGATCTTCCATTTGCTGGTTTACTCCCCCAAATGGCCACAATAGCAGCCAGGCCAAAACCAGGAGCCAGGAATTCCATCCAGGTCTCCCTTGTGGTTAGCACATGGATCTCATCTGCTGCGGTGGAAGCCACATTAGCAGGAAGCTGGATTGGAAGCAGAGCTGATAGGAGTCAAACTAGCACTTATTGGCACCACAAGTGACTGCTTAACCCACCATACCACAATGCCAGCCTCAATGATGTCTGTTGAGAGGCTGACTTTGAACCCTGATCTACCTGATTAAAAAACTATTCCCATGACAAGTTTTTAACCTGGATTAAAATGACCGCATCCCTTGTCAGAGTACTTGAATTTAGTTCCAAGCTCTGCTCCTGATTACAGCTTCCTGTTAATATGGATCCTGAGCGGCAGCAAATGATGACCCAGGTAGTTGGGTTCCTGCCACTCAGCTGGAAGATCTGTATTCAGTTCCCAGTTCCCAGCTTACAGACATTTGAAGAATGAGCCAGCAGATAGGAGCTCTCTTGTCTTGTCTGTCTTTTCCTCTGTGTCTTTATCTCCCTGCCACTCAAAGTATTTAAAAAATTAAATCAGGACTGGAGTTGTGACGTAGCAGGTGAAGCCACCACCTGCAACACTGCTGTCCCATATGGGTGCCAGTTTATGTTCATGCATCTCCACTTCCAATCCAGCTCCCTGCTAATGACCTGGGAAAAACAGTGGAAGATGGCCCAAGCACTTGGTCCCCTGCACCCATGTGGGAGACCCAATTGAAGCTTCTGGCTCCTGGCTTCAGCCAGGCCCAATCCAGCCTGTTGTGGCCATCTGGAGAGTGAACCAGCATATAGAATATTTCACTCTTTGTTTTTCCCTCTCTCTCTCTGTAACTGTGACTTTTAAATAAACAAATCTTTACCAAATAAGCAAATAAAATTAAAAAGCTATGACTAATCTTAAATCTCCAACACTTTAATGTATTTTCCATACTGCTAAACTGAATCTGTGAGCCAAGTATTGGGGTGATTGAAATTTCCCTAACTTCAAGCAGTTTTGTTTAATGTGCAAGAGCCGGCGCCGTGGCTCAATAGGCTAATCCTCCACCTTGCGGCGCCGGCACACCGGGTTCTAGTCCCGGTTGGGGCGCTGGATTCTGTCCCGGTTGCCCCTCTTCCAGGCCAGCTCTCTGCTATGGCCAGGGAGTGCAGTGGAGGATGGCCCAGGTGCTTGGGCCCTGCATCCCATGGGAGACCAGGAAAAGCACCTGGATCCTGGCTCCTGCCATCGGATCAGCACGGTGCGCCGGCTGCAGCGGCGGCCATTGGAGGGTGAACCAACGGCAAAGGAAGACCTTTCTCTCTCTGTCTCTCTCTCTCACTGTCCACTCTGCCTGTCAAAAAATAAAAAAAAATAAAAAAAAAAGAAATAAATAAATTTATAAAAAAAAATGTGCAAGGTTGATAAATAGATGATTACAAAACTGAGAAATTCTGTCATAGGATCAATATGGATAGCCTGCTATGGGGATTAGATAGCCTGTTTTGGGGATTAGATAAAACTAGAAGAGGTGCCATTTAGGCTAAAATCTGATGGATTAATGAGAGTTAGCCAGGCAAAATGGAAGGTTGGTTTTCCATTCTAGTGGAAGAAGAAGAAAATACAGTTTGGAAATTTGAAGTTTTTATTTAATGTGTGAAATATTTTGTTTGCAAGCAAATATTGACTCCTATGTTAGCTTTGGATGATTTTTGCTGAAGGTATAAGTTACCCCCAGAAAGCTTATAATCCTTCAAGCCAGCTGGTTTCTTTTATCTGATGTTCCCCTCCCAACTGGATTCCTAATGAGTCATATGTATTATGTAATAAATTTTTAAGTGTTAGTAAGAAAAATACCTAAAACATAAAAATAGCATATACCATATTCTCACAGTGTTGCTAAATATATACAGCCTGGATTTAACCTAGTTCTTGAATGTATATCCCCAGAACTATTTTTTGACTTTTGGAAATATTGAGGGAAGATTTGTTTAAGTATGGTCTTAATATTTCTCAATGTGCATGACACCGGTTAGTAGTCACTATCCATTGTACCATCGTTTGCTGATCTTTATTCTCTTTGATAAGGTAGATCCTGTGACATACTAGAATACTAGAATTCAACATGTTTTGCTTTGCTTTGTTTTGTTTTTGTTTTTGTTTTTGTTTTTGTTTTTTGCTGCTTACTGAGGCTAGAGCAGTGCTTCTCACATTTTTCCACAGAAGCGTCTCTAAGAACAGAGCAAAGGAAAATAACAATTGGCTGTGCATCAGAGCAACCCCTTCATCCTCTAAATAGGCAGAATTACCGAAAGTGGCGGCAGTTTTCTCCAGGTCTCCTATTTGCTTTAAAATACAGTGTGTTCCCTTTTACCTTCTCACCCCGGTCTCGATTAAATAAAGATGTGCCACACTTAGCCTGATTTTAGGAAACCCCTCTGACCCTACTGCTTACTCCAGAATATAAATAGTTTGTGAGGTTTGGTAATCTTGAAATAGCCAAGATTAATACTGTTTTTGAACTTAGCCCAGTGAATTCTGTGCTTCCTTTTGAAATTCTTCTGTTTTTGGAAAACCACTACCTATACTGTTTATTGACTGCATTTAGATTTGAAAGCTCCCAAGATTGGAGTCCTTGTGTCCATACTTAAAAATGATCTTCATTTTGTATAGAAAAATGGAAACTTAACTCTTTCCTAAAAAGAATTTGCATGGTTTGCTTAGAACTGGTGAAAGCACACTGAAGTACTTTAAAAAAAAAAAAGAATTATTTATATATTTGAAAGTTGGAGTTACTCAGAGAGAAGGAGAGGCAGAGAGAGAGAGAGAGAGAGAGAGGTCCTCCATCTGCCGGTTCACTACCCAGTTGGCCACAATGGCTGGAACTGCGCTGATCTGAAACCCGGAGCCAGGAGCGTCTTCCAGGTCTCCCACACGGGTGCAGGGGCCCAAGCACTTGGGCCGTCTTCCGCTGCTTTCCCAGGCCACAGCAGAGAGCTGGATCTGAAGTTGTCGGGGAAGCAGCTGGGACTCAAACCTGCGTCCTTATGGGATGGGCTTCACCCGCTATGCAGCAGCGCCAGTCCCTGAAGTACTTTTAAAGCTATATCCCAGAGTAAAAAATGACTTATATTTCTCCCTCATATACTGTGGTACTTCAGAATGTTTGTGGAGGAACCAGTGTGTGGCATAGTAGGTTAACCCTCTGCCTATGACACAGGCATCGCATAGCAGAGCACTGGTTCTAGTCCTAGCTACTCTGCTTCCAATCCAGAGGATTTTAAAGTACCTGAGAGAGCAACAGATGACTCAAGTACTTGGGCCCCTGACACCCATGTATAAGACCCAAATGGAGTTCCTCACTCCGGGCTTCAGCCTGGCCCAGCCCTGACCCATGTAGCCATTTGAGAAGTGAACCAGTGGATAGAAGATCTCTTTCTCTGTCTCTCTGCTTTTCAAGTAAAATAAATACTCAAAAAAAAGTTAAGGAAATGTACAGTTAAAAGGTGAGTTTATTTTGGTGTAAAATTTTGAAATCTGTGCTGTTTTTTTCATAATATGCATTATCTGTGAAGTTTTTGAGGATGTCCCATGTATTTTTATAGATAAGATTGAAACAAGGGGCCAGCGCCATGGTGCACTAGGTTAATCCTCCGCCTGCGGCGCCAGCATCCCATGTGGTCGCTGGTTCTAGTCCCGGTTGCTCCTCTTCCAATCCAGCTCTCTGCTGTGGCTTGGGAAAGCAGTAGAAGATCTTCCAAGTCCTTGGGCCCCTGCACCTGCATGGGAGGCCAGGAAGAAGTACCTGGCTCCTGGCTTCAGATCGGCGTAGCTCCAGCCGTAGGGGCCATTTGGGGAGTGAACCAGCGGAGGGAGGACCTTTTGGTCTCTCTCTCTCTCACTGTCTGTAACTCTACCTGTCAAATAAATAAATAAAATCTTTGAAAAAAAAAAAGACTGAAACAAAAATTCCATAAAATATTGATTACCTAACTTTTGCTACAATGAGTGTAACACTGCTGTTTTCAATTGTGTTTCACTTTGAAAATAGTTTTTGATTTTTTTAAATGTTCAGTTAATTTCGTTGAAATGTTTATTAATTAACTGAAAGACTGACAGACAGGGAAGAACAGAGAGAGAGGTAAATAGATCTTTCATCACTATTTCACCCCCTCCCCCCCCACATACCTGCAACAGCTAGGGCTCTAGGCGAAAGCCAGGAGTCAGGAACTACTTCAAGGTTTCTCACATAGGTGGCAGGAATCAAAGTACTTAGGTTATCAATGGTGCCTACCAGGCACATTAACAGAAAGCTGGATCTGAGGCAAAGGTGGGACTTTATCCCAAACACTCTGAAAAGGGATGCAAGCATCCCAGTCACTTAACCTGCTCTGCCACAATGCTCACCTCTACTTTTTTTTTTTAATGCCAGCCAAGAGACATTTGACAAACAAGGATATCAGTGGTTGCCTTCACATCATCACAGCTCCTTGGTGTTTCTATTTATTTGCATGAGATTCTAGACTGAAGTAAATAGCTTCTCATGGAGTAGTTTTACTCTCTTGGTTCCCAGTCAGCTGAAAATACTAGCAATGTTTTTTCTTGTTGTAAGTGGTGAGGGCCCCATCTCAAATGTGTAAGCACCCTGAATTGCCTTCAAATTTGGGACCTGTGTAAGTGAGGTTATATAAGAAGTGTGTAAACTTCTAGAACATAGAAATGTAGTTTAGCACAGTTTGAATAACATGATTACAAATTTCTTGAGCTTCAGCTTCCTTATTTGTAAATTGTTACATAGGGTTCTTATGAGAATTAAATAAAATAATATCTATAAAATACTTAACCTAACACCTGGCATTTAGTAAGTATTCAAAAAATTCTATTTGTTCTTTCTATGGTTGCTTTTCTTCTGTATATGAAAGTACATTTAGAATCATAAATTGATCTGATGTATTGATATTATCCAGAGATGAATTATCACTATATTTGTTTCAGGCTAAATGTGAAAGTTGAGTTTTAATTGCTTTGTTTCTAGTAATCCCATGATGATTGCCTCAATGACTCTCTTTGAGTATACTTTACATCACATATTTTTATATTCCGTCCTTAACAAAGCCTACTTGTTTTTTATTACATGTTGTGCTTCCCAAACTGTCTTTAGTATTTTATTCTGTATTTAATTAAACTGTATTTAACATTTTTCTTTAGTGTTTAATCTTTACTGCCTGTTTTCCCTTTATCCCAGCTGATAAAGAGAGGAAGATTTTTTTTTTTTTAAAAAGAGGGCTTCTTTACAATATCAAATGGGTTTTTTTTTTTTTTTTTTTTAGATTTATTTATTTGTTTGAAAGGCAGAGTTACAGAGAACAGAGGCAGAGAGAGAGAGAGAGGTCTTCTATCCCCTGGTTTACTCCCAAAATGGTCACAGTGGCTGGGGCTGCACCCGTCCGAAGCTAGGAGCCTCCTCTAGGTCTCCCACGCATGTGCAGGGGCCCAAGGACTTGAAACGTCTTCCACTGCTCCCCTAGGCCAAAGAAGAGCTGGATCGGAAGTAGAGCAGTTGGGACCTGAACCAGCGCCCACATGGGATGCCAGCAGTGCAGGCGGCAGCTGCATCCACTAAACTACAGCACCAGCCCCATGAATACTATTTTTATATCTAAAAATTGGAGAGGCAGTTTATTAATGATATTTTTACATTTATATTCACTTTATCTTGAACTGTTTTAATTTAAGCTCATAAATTACATTGAGTGGCATATATTATGTTTTCTCCAGGTTGTGCACCATCTCCAGGAGCTTATGATGTTAAAACTTCAGAAGTATTGAAAGGACCAGTATCCTTTCAGAAATCACAAAGATTTAAAAGACAAAAAGGTAATAGATCTGAAAATAAAATACTGGTTATATGACCTGACAAGTTATAACAATATTTAAATTGGAAGATACTATAATGTTCCTCAAAATGTAAACTTACAATTATATTTAAATTTTCTTTGATGGTAGATTCATGAAATGGTCAAATAGAAATGTAGTTTCCCTTTTGGTACTTCAACTTTTATGTCAGGAAATATTAGGAAAATTATAAAAGTGTTAGATATGTTAAAAAATATTGTGCAACTAATCATTTGGAAATGTGCAATCAGGAAAAGAATAACTATTTCTTCATTGTGCTTAGAATAAGAAATTTGGAAATTGTGTCTTGAATATGGTTAAAAAACATAAAACAACTGTACAATTCATTTTTCTGTAGAATCGCAACAAAATCTTAATGTTGACAAGGATACTACTTTACCTGCTTCAGCTAGAAAAGTTAAGACTTCGGAAATAAAGGTGAGGAACTTTTACATGCCAGCAAGTATGTTGGGATAGGACCTAAGTCTAAATATGAATTTTCTTTTTGTTCCATATATACATTATTCAGTATTTTTAGTGTGCCTGTGTTTTGTCTTCAGCTTCTCACATGAAGTCAAATGTGGAATTTTCCACTTGGGACATCATATCAACCTCAAAAAGTTCTGGATTTTTAGATTCAGAACACTGAACCTGTACTGTAGCCTTTTAGGATAGGTTCAGCATATAAATTAGAGTTATAAGTCTATAAACTAATGAAAGAGGTTATGACGTAGCAAGTTTTAAATTTCTGCCAGGTAATTACTAAATATACTGTTTTTAAATGTGCCCTTAGTCATTTTTATATATGGATGAAATTTAGGTTATTTAGAAAGCATTTAAAAAATTATGTGATGCTTTGGTTTGCTGCCATCATTTGAGTTATTTTGTTTTTGTTTATTTATGATGAAGGATAAATATTAGTGGGAAAAAAAAAAACAGGAAAAATTCCAGTGCTACTTAAAAACTGTTGTTGATTGGTGGTTGATTAAATTCTAAATCACTTTATGGTGGAACTCACAGACTAGTCTATTGTTACTGTTTCTATTAGTTCATAAGCAAGATATACTTTGTTAAGTTGAACAAATTAATAGATACTGTAATGTAGAAAAGATTTAGACTTAAAGTCAAAGCTAAAGGTTAAGTTTAATTATTCATTCATTTTAGTGATTACCTGTCTTTTTTTATAATATGCAGCTATGTTGTCTTATATGGAAATGATTAGTGCATGTGACTATGAGCACTTCAAATGTGGCAATACCAATGAAGATCTAAATTTTTAGTGTTATGTAATTCTGGTTTTATTTTTTTTAAAGATTTATTTTATTTATTTGAAAGACAGAGTTACGGAGAGAGGTAGAAACAGAGAGAGGTCTTTCATCCGCTGGTTCACTCTCCAGATGGCTGCAATGGCCGGGGCTGCGCCAATCCGGAGCCAGGAGCCAGGAGCCTCCTCCGTGTCTCCCTCATAAGTGCAGGGGCCCAGGGACTTGGGCCATCCTCTACTGCTTTCCCAGGCCATAGCAGAGAGCTGGATCGGAAAAGGAGCAGCTAGGACACAAACTGGCACCAAATGGGATACTGGAATCACAGGCAGCAGCTGTATCTGCTACACCACAATGCTGGCCTGCTTAAACTCTTAAACTTGAAATATTTTGAGATTTTAGGAACCTTTCTTTCATTTGCCAGAAAAATGATCTATAAAGTGTGGCATAGGCTCAGTGTATGATTTAAAATAGAAATTAGCTATTTGGAGCACTTAATCTTTTCATATTTGGCTGTGATATTTGTAGCACTTAAATTTGTATTTTTTCTTTTAAACAGAAGTCTCAAAAGACTGATAAAGATTTGAAGATACTAGAAAAAGAGGTAAGCAATGCTTTAAACTTACTGAAAAACAAATTTTATATATAATGGAAAGAGTTTCATAGAGTTTAGAAATAGAAATTCTGTTGTAGTTTGAGTCTTGTAGTAAGGAAAACATGATATACAGAATACTTGCCTTGGGTTTGCTACCATATTTTGGAGCCTATCCAAACTGTCAGTGTAGTAGTATGCTGGCAAAGTCAAGCTTATTATGTCAAGATAACCCACTTAGTGAAAAACTGATAGTTAGGCCAGCACCGCAGCTCAATAGGCTAATCCTCCACCTAGCGGCGCCGGCACACCGGGTTCTAGTCCCGATCGGGGCGCCAGATTCTTTCCCGGTTGCCCCTCTTCCAGGCCAGCTCTCTACTGTGGCCCGGGAAGGCAGTGGAGGATGGCCCAAGTGCTTGGGCCCTGCACCCCATGGGAGACCAGGAGAAGCACCTGGCTTCTGCCTTAGGATCAGCGCAGTGCGGCCAGCTGTGGCGGCCACTGGAGGGTGAACCAATGGCAAAAGGAAGACCTTTCTCTCTGTCTCTCTCACTATCCACTCTGCCTATCAAAAAAAAAAAAAAAAAAAGAAAAAGAAAAAGAAAAACTGATAGTTAAAGATAAATATATCAGTTTATTACAATTAAATATGTGGATCAAATATTTGTATCTACTGATAGCACCTGCTCTTGCTGTGTGCTAATGCATGTTGAAAAAACATATCTGGGGGGCTGGTGCCGTGGCTCACTTGGTTAATCCTCTGCCTGCGGTGCCGGCATCCCATATGGGTGCCGAGTTCTAGTCCCGGTTGCCCCTCTTCCAGTCCAGCTCTCTGCTGTGGCTCCTGGCTTCGGATTGCCGTAGCTCCGGCCGTGGAATCCATTTCGGGGGTGAACCAATGGAGGGAAGACCTTTCTCTCTGTCTCTCTCTCTCTCACTGGCTAACTCTGTCAAATAAACTTAAAAAAAAAAAAAAGAAAAGAAAAAAACATAGGTGGAGAATTGCTTGGTGAGCATGTAGTCCTAGCAGATGGTTGCATTATGATAAATTTATGCTTACTTGATGCATAGCTCTGCAATATATTTCTACTTTGAGGATGAAATAACCTAGAGCTGTGCTATCTAGTATGATAGCTGCTTACCATGTGGCTATTTTTAAAATAAATAAGATTGAACAAAATTAACAACTCAGTTGTATTAATCACATTTGAAGTGCTTAGTAACCACATGTGGTAAGCTGAGCAGTTACCATCCTTGATAGATGGTGCATTTCCTCCATGGCAATGATTTCTATATAGCAGGGCTGACCTAAAGAACCCATTTTTTTTCCCAAAGCTGTGCTAAGCTGTCCACTACCAACTTTGCTTCTCTGCCAATGTTTTTGTTGTTGTTGTTGTTGTTTAAGGTTATTTTAATCGATGTCAGCTGCAGATACAGTAAAATATTCTGAATCTGCAAAATGATGAAAATACCATGCTGAATTTTGTAGCATCTACCAGTTAGGTTTCCATTGCTGACCAAATAGGCTAATTGACATACTCCTTTGATACATTAAAACTCTCCATTTGAATACAGTGACATTTTGGTTTAGAACTAAGAATGCCAAATAATTGCAGATTTCTGCTTCCTTGCTCTGATCCTTTATATTTGTTTTAGTAACATTTTCTAATATATTGTTGAGGATACATGCCAGTGACATGGGGATTGATATTTATAGATGTGTCTACTGAGTCTCAGTGGGACAGCTGGTGAGTCAGTAGCAGTGCCAGGATTAAAATTGGTAATTTGCATAAGTTTCTTTACCGGATATAGAATTTTAGATTAGAAGACTTTTTTCCCTATTATTTTAGCATTTGATGTTTTTTATTTTATAATTTCTTTAGTAGCATTAGGAAGGATGGTTTGCTGATGCTTACCACATTCTACTTAGAAGCCCAGCTCTACCTTTCTGAAATAAAAAACATAGTTAGCATTTAAAAATTCTTTTATTTTTGTAAAGAGATTTATTTATTTATTTGAGAAGAAGAGTTACAGAGAAAGGGAGAGACAGAGAGAGGGGTCTTTCATCTGCTGGTTCACTTCCCAATGGCCACAATCGCCAAGCTGGGCCTATCCGAAGCCAGGAACTTCTTCTGGGTCTCCCACACGGGTGCAGAGGTCCAAGCTCTCTGGCTTTCCCAGGCCATTAGCAGAGAGCTGGATGGAAAATAGAGCAACCGGGACTCTAACTGATGCCAATATAGGATGCCAGAGCTGCAGGTCAAGGCTTAATCTACTATGCCACAGTAACAACCCCCCATTTAAAACTCTTAATACAAATTACATAATTGAAACTATGGAAAGGAACTCTTACAAGTAGAAATATGTTAAAAGGAAGTAATGGTTTAATTGCACTTGGAAGTTTATGGCACTTAAAATCTTTTTGTTCTTAAAATGAATAGATCTTAAGTATCATAAAGTAAATATGATTATCCAACTAGGTAATAGTATATGAGCACAGTAACAAAGTTAGAAGTTTTTTAGAAGCTTTTTTTATTAACATTTATTTATTTATTTGAAAGTCAAGAGTTATACAGAGAGAGGAGAGGCAGAGAGAGAGAGGTCTTCTATCCTCTGGTGCACTCCCCATTTGGTCGCAATGACGGAGCTATGCCCATCCGAAGCCAGAAGCCTAGAGCTTCTTCTGGGTCTCCCACGCGGGTGCAGGGACCCAAGGACTTGAGCCATCTTCTTCTGCTTTCTCAGGCCACAGCAGAGAACTAGATCAGAAGTAGAGCAGCTGGGTTTCGAACCAGCACCCCTATGGGATGCTGGCACTTCAGGTGGCGACTTTCCCCGCTACACCACAGCACCAGCCCCTCTAGAAGCTTTAACACTGGTTATCAGTTACATTCATTTCTGTTTGCTTTGTAATAATGAGTCATTTATTTAACACCATGTTTTCTTCTAGATTCGTGTTCTCCTGCAGGAACGTGGTGCTCAGGACAAGCGGATCCAGGATCTGGAGACTGAGTTGGACAAGACAGAAGCAAAGCTGAATGCTGCAGTCAGAGAAAAAACATCTCTCTATGCAAACAGTGCTTCACTGGAAAAACAGCTTATTGAGTTAACCAGGACTAATGAACTACTAAAATCTAAGGTATTTGAACCTCATGATAACACACAAAATTGAATAAATAATATTGTTCTTATTGCAGTTGTTTGAGAACTTGAGCCTCTATTTAAGCCCTCTGTTTTTTCTTACTAGTTTTACCTTACATATTAAGTTGCCTCAGATAGAAATTGCTGTTTCTTTTGTTGTTGTTAAGATTTATTTTATTTATTTGAAAGGCAGAGTTACGGAGACAGAGGGAGAGACAGAAAGAGAGAGGTCCTCTATCCTAATGGTTCACTCTCCAAACAGCTGCACTGGCTAGGGCTTAGCCAGGCCGAAGCCAGAAGCGCCTGGAGCTTCTTGTGGATCTCCCACGTGGATGCAGGGGCCAAGGACTTGGACCATCTTCCAGTGGTTTCCTAGGCAGATGGCAGCTTAATCTACTACACCACAGTGCCGGCCCCTACTATATAGCTTTTTATTATTATGTCTAGGACACAAGAAATTATAAACAATCAAGTTGCTTTTGTACATTTTGAAATCACTTTATACATCTTCATTGGAAGTAAATGATATCATAATAACAGACTTCCCTCTGAAAACATTTTGGTAATGAAATATGAAATAAATCAGTAGACTCAATATATTCAAAGGAGAAACTGTCAAAATTAATATACTAATAGATCTTAAAGAGCCTAAAATGGTCATTGTGCTTGATACTGAGGAGAGTGAAGATATAAAGAACAGTTTTTAAGAATTAGAATTCAGGGCCTGCAATGTGCTGGGTTCTTTACCTACAAAAGGAGTAGAGTTGCATTAGAATCAAGAATAAAGAGGAAAGGCCAGCACCTCAGCTCACTTGGCTAATCCTCTGCCTGCGACGCCGGCACCCTGGGTTCTAGTCCCAGTTGGGGTGCCGGATTCTGTCCCCGTTGCTCCTCTTCCAGTCCAGCTCTCTGCTGTGGCCTGGGAAGCCAGTGGAGGATGGCCCAAGTGCTTGGGCCCTGCACCCGCATGGGAGACCAAGGGGAAGCACCTGGCTCCTGGCTTCAGATCAGCACAGTGCGCTGGCCGTAGCGGCCATTTGGGGGGTGAACCAATGGAAAAGGAAAACCTCTCTCTCTCTCTCTCTCTCACTGTCAAACTCTGCCTGTCCAAAAAAATAAATAAATAAAAAAAGAATAGAGAGGAAAAAAAAGAAGAAAGGACAGAAAGAATAGGGAAGGGAGCAAATTCCTGGTTCCCACTCAGGGAGATTCTGATTTAGGAGGCTTGAGTTGAACCCTATAATCCGCATACTTCAAAGTACACCAGGCACAGATTCATTTTGTTAGCACCAATCTCCAAAAGTCTTCTGTAATCAGCTTTTAGACCCTTGCCTTGGACTTACCAGTTTAAAGAGGTAAATAAGCATCCAAACTACATTTTAGAAATAAACTAGAATGTTTACATAAGAAAAAGGAGAGACAATGACAGCATTATAATAATACCCCCTTATCCACAAGGGATACATTTCAAGATTTTCCATGATACCTGAAATATAAGCAAGGCTGAATCCTAAACAGACGCTCCTTGATTTGCAAAAGAGATATGATCTAATAAATCCATTGTGGAAACAAATCGTGTTGAACTGTTATGATTTATTTATTTATTTGAAAGTCATGATGACAGAGAAAGGGAGAGACAGAGATCTTCCATCTTCTGGTTCATTCCACAAATGACCAGAACAGCTAGAGATGGGCCAGGCTGAAGCCAGGAGACCAGAACTCTATCTTTCTGGGTCTCCCATAGTGGATGACAGGTGTCCAGCCACTTGTGCCATCATCCTCTGCTTTCCCAGCCATGTTAGCAGAGAGTCACATGGGAAGCAGAGTAACTGGGACTTGAGCTGGTGCTCCAACATGGATTGCCAGCATTGTAAGCTGCAGCTTCTCACACTGTGCTACAATGCCAGCACCCCGTCCCCATGTTGGACCATTAGAAATCACATTCTCCTTTACCTAAAATAGGGTTGTGCCCAGATAAACCTGTCATTAACTTAAAAAGTAATGAGTCAAGTAACCATAAATGGGATAGGTAGGCAGACAATTGTGGTACAGAGGTAAGCCACTGTTTGGGACTCCCACATTCCATATGGGAATGTCATTTTAAGCTTCAGCTATTCCACTTTCAATCCAGCTTCCTGCTAATGCGGACCCTGGATGATAGCAGATGGTGACCCAAGTACTTGGGTTCCTGCCATCCACATGGGAGACCTAGATGAAGTTCTGGGCTCCTAGGGTCAACCTGGCCCACTTCTGGCTGTTATAATAAGAATTTGGGGAGTGAGCCAGCAGATGGAAGATATCTCTTTGTCTCTCTCTCTTGTTGTGCCTTCCAGGTAGAGGAAAATAAATATTTAAAAAAATAAATAAATGAAGGACCATATGTATATACTGTACTTTTGCTATACATACCTACCTATAATATGGTTTAATTTATAAATTAGAAAAAGTATGAGACCAATAATCAACTAATGAAAGTACAATTTTAACAGTATACTGTGGTAAAACATTTTAAACTTTTAAAATTTTTTATTTCTGGAATTTTCCAGTTAATCTTTTCAGACCACTGATGACCACAGATAACTGAAACCACAAAGAGTAAAATCACATATAAAGGGAGACTTCTGTAATGTGCAATCAGTAGTTGTGGTGTTGCTTAGACTGCATAAGTAAATAGTAATTCCAATGATAGTTAGAATTATTAGTATTTAACTGAGTGTATGTAAGGCTTAGAAGAAAATATTTCTGAATTTTTTATATTTGTTACTTAGTTTTCTGAAGATGGTAACCAGAAGAATCTGAGAATTCTAAGTCTGGAATTGATGAAACTTAGAAACAAAAGAGAAATGAAGATGAAGGTGAGTGATACTTTTGTTAGGTTTGTTATATTTGAATCTTGAAATGTGAATAATTTCTTGTTTCCTAAAATAGTTATCTCCATTGTATAGAGTATGGTGGCTAAACAAGAAGGCATGGAGATGAAGCTACAGGCCACGCAGAGGAATCTGGAAGAGTCTCAGGGGAAAATAGCACAGCTTGAGGGGAAACTGTAAGTGACTAAGAGGAAACAAATTACTAAGTGTAACCAATTCTTGATTTGCCTCTCTGAGCAAGTTACTGCTTATTGAGGCTTTACCCTTCCTTCAGTACTTTTTTTTTTCACTGCCATCATCTAATTGCCCTGTTCTTTTTTTTTAAGTGATAATTGAGCCCTTATCCTCACCAAACATTGTGTGCCAAAAAGTTGAATGAACGTACTACTTTTGTATATATTATGTATTAATGATCAGAAAAAGTCTCACAATTGTTCTTGAAATTTTAGGAAAGTGATAGACTGAAACTCAGAAACACTGGTATAGGAAGCTGTGATTAATTCACAATTCTAGTTTACATGTGGTAGAATATGCAGTTCATAATTACTCAGTTTCATGATTTTTGAAAATTGTGTACACCTGTTTAACTACTAATTGAATGAGGCAGAGAACACATCCATCCTCAGAAAGTTTCTTCATGCCCTTTCTTGCTACGGCCTGTGTAATGTTATCCTCTATGACTACATTTTGACTTCAGTCAAATTTGTTGTACCTTTTTTGAGACATTTATCATAGAATAAGAGAGAAAATCTGTGTGTAGTTTCTTTTGTTTGATGTGATGTTTCAGTGTTCATCCATGTTGTTGTCTGCATTGTAACTTTAACTCTATTTCTGAGTAGTATTCCACTATATAAATCTATTTCCATTTGCTTGCTATTCATCTTTTGGTCATTATTGGGTTGTTTTCAGTCTGTGAATATTTTGGGTAAGACTTATGAACATACATCTTTGTGAATATATATTTTTGTTCCTCTTGGGTAAATATTTTACTAAGAATAAATTCCTGGTTTTTAGGATGTGTATCTATAAAGTGATAAAAAACAAAAAACACGAAGTGATTGTACTATTTATACGCCCATCAGCAATATATAGTAGTTCTACCTGTTCCTTCACATCGCAGTTAGTATTGTCCATCTATGAGGCCTTTCTAGTGATTGTGAAATGGTGTCTCATTTATCTCCTTTTATGAAGGATCTATTTAAGTTGGTCTCTTGCCCATTTCTATAGTCAGGTCGTACGGAGGAGGTAAACATATAACTAATTGACTACCAGGCAATCTGGGACAAAAGCTTTATGGTACACAAAATGTTATTTATTATATTGGGTGAAAGGAGAACCAGGAAAGCTACCAAAAATAATTATTTCTAGTATTTGGAATGTTGGAAATGGTGATTGTTTTCATCATAGGTCCTTTTTGAGAATACATTTGGAAAGGTTTCTCGCTTAGGTTCAATCTTCTGTCTTTGTTTTGCATGTTAAGTATCAGCTTGAAAGGTCACATAAAATAATGAGAGTTTGGGATTGAGTCCACCTGCCTGTTATAAAAATGACTGGTGTATGGTATTAATATAATTATTGAATAAATAAACTAGTATGTATTAACATGTGCATTTTTTAGTGTTTCAATAGAGAAAGAAAAGATGGATGAAAAATCTGAAACAGAAAAACTCTTAGAATACATCGAAGAAATTAGGTAATATAAATAGTAGCTTTAAGTTGGATCTTAAAGTTTGTTGAATACTGATAAACATCGTTTTCATCTTTATTCTCTTAGTTTTTCCTGTGGCTAAATATATGTGCTTTTCACAATAATTTGCTTTAATATAGCTGTGCATCAGATCAAGTGGAAAAATATAAGCTAGAGATTGCCCAATTAGAAGAAAATTTGAAGGAGAAGAATCACAAAATTTTAAGCCTTACGCAGTCTTTGGAGGAAAATGTTGTTTTGTCTAAGCAAGTAGAAGAGCTGAATGCTAAATGTCAGCTGCTTGAAAAAGAAAAAGGTATTACGGTGCTTACAGTTACTTTTTTTATAGTCACTTTTTTTTAAAGATATATATAATACTTGAGAAAGGAGGTACTGCAATAGCTTTTTAAATAAAGTTATCTAAATAATATAAAGACTGTTCTGTAATTGAAAATTTTTTAATATTTTTGTTTGTTGGTTTATTTGAAAGACAAGGAGAGGGGCTAGTCTCCACCGGAGATACCAGTATCCTATATGGGCACTGATTTGAGACCCGGCTGTCCCACTTTCAATCGAACTCTCTGCTGATCTGCCTGGGAAGGCAGTGGAGGATGGCCTGGATGCTTGGGCTCCTGCCACCCACATGGGAGACTCAGAGGAAGCTCTTAGTTCCTGGCTTTGATATGGCCCAGCCCTGGCTATTGCAGCCTTTTGAGGAGTGAACTAGCAGGTAGAGGATCTCTATCTCTGTAGCTCTGTATTTTATTTATTTAAAATAAATAAAAAAGGAATCTTTAAAAACAAATTTGTATTAAAAAATGAAAAAGAAAGCAAAATAGGGAGAGAAAGAAATCATCCATATACTGGTTCACTCACCAAATAGCTGCAATAGCCATGTCTAGTCTAGGCCTAGGCCAGGAGCCAGGAACTTCATCCTGGTCTCTGGTGTTTATGGCAGGGACCAAAGCACTCAGATCATCATCTGCTTTCCCAGGCTCGTTAGCCATGGAGCTGTATCTGAAGAGGAGGAGCCAGGATTTGAACTGGCACTTCAATGTTGGCTGCCAGTGTTGCAAGCAGCTGTTTAACCTGCTGTACCACAAGACTGACCCCAGTTGAGAATTTTTTATTATTACATTTGTTTGCAGTTTATTTAGTATGTGATTTACTTGTCTTGGTTAAAATATATACAGTTGTGCAGTTATTTACTTCTCTACTGGGTGGCCATTTAAAATTACTAGATACTTAGAATCATATTTATGAAGTACGTGAAATCTGTTCTCTCTAGATTAACAAGTTAAAACAGTAAAAAAAAAGCTATATAAATCTATATTTTGGAATTTTATTATGATTTATAATGTACAGTATAGTAATCATAGAAACCTCATATTTTTTTAAATGGAAACATTATCTGTATATGCTAAAATCAGTATAATTGAATATTATGGGAGTATGGGTTTCCCAAAATTAACATTAATATCTAGTTACAGTATTTTTAACATTTTTGCTTTTTATAGAGGACTTCATAAACTGGAATAGAGAAAAGGATGAAAAGCTGAATGCTGAGATGCAAAATTTAAGAGAGACACTTATTCTTCAAAAACAAGAATGTGAAAAGCTACAACAAAAAGAATTAGAAGTGAATTCACTTCTGCAACAAGAGAAGGTAATTTTTACAATATTAAACAAAACGGTGCTTGTTCCGTGTTATCAGTTTCCCTATATATCAGAAAATCTTTAAATGGTGTATAACCTTTGTTCCAACAATTCTATTTTTAATCTTATCCTAAGTAATCATTTGCATACTAAAGATTCAGTCACAAGTCTTCAGTATATGTTCACAACAGGATCATTCATGAATTAAAAAATTTTTGAATAACAAATGCATCAAAATCAAGAAATCTTTTTTTTAAAGATGTATTTTCATTTATTCTAAAAGCAGAGTGACAGAGAGGCAGAGAGAGAAACCTGCCATCCTTTAGTTCACTCCACAAATGACCATGATGGTCAGGGCTGGGCAGTCCAAAGCCAGGAACCAGGAACTCAATCTATATTTTCTATGTAGGTGCAGAGGCCCAAGTATTTGGGGTGTCTTCTTCTGCTTTCCTAGGTACATTAGGAGGTAACTGGATCACAAGCAGAGAAGCCATGACTCAAATCCACTCAAACTCAAACCAGGACTCAAACGGATCCAGTGTTGCAGGCAGTGGTTTAACCCACTGTACCACAATACCAACCTGGAAATCTTTTTTTTTTTTTTTCCTCTGACAGGCAGAGTTTGACAGTGATAGAGAGAGAGAGAGAGAGAGAGAGAGAGAGAAAGGTCTTCCTTTTCCATTGGTTCACCCCCCAAATGGCCGCTATGGCCAGCATGCCGCACCGATCTGAAGCCAGGAGCCAGGTGCTTCCTCCTGGTCTCCCATGCAGGTGCAGGGCCCAAGGACCTGGGCCATCCTCCACTGGCTTCCCAGGCCACAGCAGAGAGCTGGACTGGAAGAGTAGCAGCCGGGACAGAATCCGGCGCCCCAACTGGGACTAGAACCTGGGGTGCTGGTGCCGCAGGCAGAAGATTAGCCTAGTGAGCCCCAGTGCCAGCCGGAAATCAATTTTTTAAAAAGTCCCAGAATGTATTTAGTTAATTTAAGTAGGTGTTTACGGTTATCCTATAAATGAGTATCTGATTGCAGGAGAAACAAAATAATTTTTCAAGTGCAGATTACCTAAAAAGCATTTTACATTTTTTTTTTAAGATTTACTTATTTATTCCAAAAGGAGAGTTATGGAGAGGCAGAGAGAGAGAGAGAGAAAGTCCTCCATCCACTGATTCACTCCCCAAATGGCCGCAACATCAGAGCTGGGCCAATCAGAAGCCAGGAGCCAGGAGCTTCTTCTGGGTCTTCCACGCCGGTGTAGGGGCCCAAAGTCTTAGGCCTGCTTTCCCAGGCCATAGTAGAGAGCTGGATTGGAAGTGGAGAAGCTGGGACTCAAACCCTCGCCTATATGGGGTGTTGGCCCTGCAGGTGGCAACTTTATCAGCCATACCACAGCACTGGCCCCACATTTTACATTTCAGTAAAAAACAAGATAGTCTAAAAATCACAGCTATAGGAAAGAAATAGATAATTTTCAGAAGCAAATATTCATATAACCTGTAAATATGAAAAGATGCTCCACCTCAGTAGTGTTCAAGGAAATGGAAATGATTTTTTTTTCACTTACAAGATTGGCACAAATTAAAACATCTGATTATATAAAACATTGGGAAGAGTTGAGCCAGTGGATTCTTACATGCACTAGTGTGAAAACTGTATTGTTGGGCAACCTGTAACAACTATGTAAATAAAGTACATCTGTATGCTTTGACCTGGAAGGATCTATTTTATATGTTTTTTTCTAAGTGATTTTCATATCCACAGAGTATAAATCATTTATGGCCAAAAAAAAATAAAAGTATATGCATAAGAGATGACATTGTGGCACAGCAGGTTAAGCCCCTGCTTGTGACTCTGGCATCCCATATCAGAGTGTAAATTCACGTCCCAACTATTCCCTTTTTTTTTTTTTTTTTTTTTTTACAGGCAGAGTGGACAGTGAGAGAGAGACAGAGAAAGGTCTTGCTTTGCCGTTGGTTCACTCTCCAATGGCCGCCGTGGCTGGCGCGCTGCAGCCGGCGCACCGCACTGATCCGAAGGCAGGAGCCAGGTGCTTCTCCTGGTCTCGAATGGGGTGCAGGGCCCAAGCACTTGGGCCATCCTCCACTGCACTCCCGGGCCATAGCAGAGAGCTGGCCTGGAAGAGGGGCAACTGGGACAGAATCCGGCGCCCCGACCGGGACTAGAACCCGGTGTGCCGGCGCCGCTAGGTGGAGGATTAGCCTATTGATCCACGGCGCCGGCTGCTATTCCCTTTTCAAGCCAGTTTCCTGCTTATGTGCCTGGGAACACAGTGGAAGATACCCCAAGTACTTGAGCTACTGACACTTATAAGGCAGTGCAGAGTAGAATTCTTGGCTCCTGGCTTTAGCCTTGCCCAGACCTGGCTGTTGCAGTCAGTGGATGAAATAGTTATCTCTGTCTCTCAGTCTCTATATCCCTTTTTTCTGTCACTCTGTCTTTCAAATACATAAATAAATAAAATTTTTAAAAGGTATATATTTAAAAAGTATATACATAGACAAAAATCAGAAGGCATATATATACCAAACTAGTAGTTGTCATCACTGTAGTGGGAAAACTGAGTTTTGGGTGGGAGTAATCACAGCAAATATTCACTTCATTTGTAATGATAGAATTGTTTTAATAATGGTGATGATGTATTTATATAAGATTAAAAATTTTTATAGTGTATAACAATATTTTATTTAACACTAAAATATCATTTTACATATGAAACAAGTATATCAAGGTATGTATATATGGCAGTTGTAAAACAGATAAAAGAATAATTTTAGTTTTAAAAGAAGTATTTGTGTTTGTGTATGGGTGTGCCTTAGAGAAAAAAGCTTGAAGTAACTTAATAAGATGTAGGATATAAACCAGGAAGAATTATGATATCTGTAGATTAGTTTCCTTGTAACTTGAATTTAGTTTTCAGACTTCATTGTCTTTTCTTTTTTGTATCTTAGTAAAGCCTCAAAGTGTTATTTCAGATTCCTTTGATGGTTATCTGTTTGGATATAGGAATTATCGTCTAATCTTCAGCAGTTGATACATTCTTTTCAAGAGCAAACAATTAAAGAGAGGAATGTCTTTGAGGAACAATTAAAGCAAGCACTGGATGAGTTGGATAAGTTACAGCAAAAGGAAGAACAAACTGAAAAGCTAGTCAAGCAGTTGGAAGAAGAAGCACAATCTTCAAATGCAGAACTAAAACTCTTAAAAGAAAACCTAAAAGGGTTTGTATTAATAGGACCTCATATTTACTTAATACTTGATTTTTAAAATGTATATTCTATTACATTTTTATTGTGAGGGTTGGAATTATTTTTCAGGTAATTAATGGACATAGAAGTAAAGCACATGCAAAAACTGTATCCAAACATGTCATAGTTAAAAGTGTTGTCCTTTTTTAAAAAAATCTTTCTTTAATTTTATTTTTTATTGATTTTTTTTTTTTTTTCATTTTGAAAGAGACAAAGAGATCTTCCATCTGCTGGTACATTTCCCAAATGCTTGCAACAGTTAGAGCTGAAACTAAGATCCTGGATCTCAATCCTTTGTCCTGCATGGGTAACAGGGACCTAAGTGCATAGGCCATCACCCGCTGGCTTCTATGGTGTGCGCTAGAAGGAAGCTGCAACCAGAAGCAGTCACTCAATGTGCTATTTAGCTGTCCTAAGCCACGTCTTTGCCAAATGACTGCCTCTGCTCTTTATTTAAGGCCAGAGATTTAATTTAAAAGACTTATAATAAGCAAATGAACAAAGTTTTGTGCTCTTTACCATTCCTATATTTTCTAGAAATTATTGAACAATAACATTACAATAATGAGTTTAAGAAAAAATTAAAAACTAAGAACCTGACCCTTTAATAAAAAACAATTCCACTTTTTATCTCTATCCTTTTACATAGTGCAAGTTATATGTTTGGAGGGATCATAAACTCTTCAGAGGTAGCAATCAAAAAACAAAACAGGCATTTGACCTAGTGGTTAAATTCTTACATTCCACATCAGAATTCCTGGGTTTGATTTCCAGCTTAGGCTTCCTAATGTTGTATACCCTCAGAGGTGACACTTGATAGCTAAAGTTGTTTGGTCATTGTCATCTATCTGGGAGACCCGGATTGAGTTCCTGGCTCCTGGCAACTCTAGTTTCATATTACTTCCTTCACATTATGCTTCCTTCTCTGTAAACATTCAGTTAAATTAAAATATCTCGTTTAATTCTTGAGTTTAAATTGCAAATAACATAATGAATTATGATATTTAAATACTTGAGATTTCATTGTTAAAGTATTTTCTAGGAAGGAACTGTGAACTGAATATGAGCCAAATGTCGCAACTGTGCAGTTATCTCCTATTGGATACTTTAATCTCTTTTCTGTTTTCTTGTGCTGATGGGTGATAAAAATGAACACCAAAATTTTATATATCTCTGGTTTGGGGAAACACTGCAAAAGTGTGATTAGAAGGCTTGTTCTATACCACAGTCAACCTTGCGGAACATGATCCTTAAATTGTGTAGAAAATAAAATATTGTGTAAATGATCAGTTTCAAAAGGCAAGGTTTAGTTAATCATTTATTCTGATTTAACAAACTCTGGTGCAAAAGTCAAGTCATACAGATTTTATTACTAGATCTATAACTAGCTGATGGTCCTCATGATTTTGAGCAGGATGATCTTAATTTCTTTCATTTTCTACTTCATTAAATATAAAATATAGGCATTTTATGAGATCTCTCTTAAGCTCATATACTTATAGAAAATTTATAACCAATATTTCAAAAAACCTCAGGTTTGTACTATGTATTTATAAAGTTGACTTAAAAACTATTCTGTCTATACAATGTTGTTGAGTTTTTAAGTAATAACAATGTATTTTGTGGGTTATTCATATAATCAGAATAAATCCACATAGCCCAGCACCCTTTTTTCCAAAGGAACCTTTAAAATGAAGTATAACTGTGCTTAGTGTTTGTTGTTCAAATGCAGAGAATTAAGCTTTTTTTTTTATAAGCTTTATTAAGTCCAAATCTTTTTAAATTTGTAATCATTTGTTTTCTTTGGTTTTGATTGTTTTGCTGGAATATTGTGTTTAAAAAGTTTTTTTTACTACTTTCTTTCCCCCAATTTTTTTTAAACATTTTTTTAAGGTACACAAATTTCATATATTTCATATATGAAGATTTAGGAACATAGTGATACTTCCCACCCTGCCATCCTTCTTGCCCACACTCTCAGCCTTCCTCCTCCCTCTCCTAATCCCACTCTTAATTTTTACAAAGATATATTTTCAATTTACTTTATACTTTAAGATTAACCCTACACTAAATAAAGAGTTCAACAAATAGTATGAAGAAAAAATCAGTGTTCCTCAACAGTAGAGACAAGGGCTGTAAATGATCATGGAATCTGAAAATATCAATTTCCCTCTAATACATTATGTTTTAGGTACTCTATTAGTTACTATAGATTAGGGAAGGCATATGATAACTGTGTTTTGGGGACTGGCTTATTTTGCTAAGCATAATGGTTTCCAATTGCATCCATTTTGTTGCAAAAGACTGAATTTTTTTTTTTTTGCCAATGAATAGTATTCCATAAGTGTATATATACCATAATTTCTTTATCCAGTCATCAAGTGGTGGATATCTGGGTTGATTCCATATCTTAGCTATTGTTAATTGAGCTGCAATGAACATGGGGGTGTAGATAACTAACTCTTTCCATATGCTGATTTCATTCTATTTGTCTTCTCCCAAATTTTTTAAAAACTTTCATAAACATGAGTGATTTCTAAAAAGTTCATGGAAAATGAGCATTATCTTTTAATTCTGTTTTTCATGATCTTTCTTTTTTTTTAGATATTTATTTATTTGAAACACAGAGTTACAGAGAGAGAGGGAAAGATGGAGAAAGATCTTCAGTCCACTGGTGCAGTCCCCAAATGGTCGCAACAGACAGGGCTGGGTTGATACGAAGCCAGGAGCCTGGAGCTTCTTCTGGGTCTCCTATGTGGATGCAGTGGCCTAAGCACTTGGGTCATCCTCTGCTGCTTTCCCTGGCCATTAGCAGGGAGCTGGATTGGAAGTCAAGCAGCTAGATCTTGAACCAGCCCCCATATAGGAATTCCAGCGTCACATGTGGCAGCTTTAACAGCCACACCACAACACTGACCCAATAAATGATTTTTTTGAAGTACCTTCATATGTGATATGAAAAGATGAATTTAGTAATAAGTAAATTTACATGAAAAATAAAATAAGCAGGAAAGATAAGATGAAGCCAATGGAGAAGTTAGTATGTTAAAAAAACATGCTATGAGAGACATAAACTTTGATATTAGATATATATCAGTGAGGCAAAGGTAAAGCTATGAAATGCATTATTAACAATTTCAAAAGTAAATACTATTACTCTCTTTCTTAGGATAATGGTTTATATTTTGTATTTTAATTGTTTCTCTCTCTTAGGAAAGAAGCTGAACTGCAGAAGAGTAATCTTGATCACTCTCAAGCCACCCTGCTTTTACAAGAAACATATAATAGTACAGTGCAAAACCTTGAAGATGTTACTGCTCAATTTGAAAGGTATTTTCTTGGGAATCTTTACTCTCCAAAATAATGTGAGCAGAAACAAGTATTTACCAAGGGAAATCAGTAAATAAAGCAGTTATGCAATGATTATCTCTATTATTTAAATTCTTTGATAACCAACCATAAATAGATGTTTAGTGTCACCTAGTAATTTTACTAAATTTATATAGAAACTTCCCTTTCCCACTTTATGTACAGATAACGCATCTGAAGCTTTTAAACTTCAGTGACATTAAACTTTTCATCAGATTTCTTCTAATTAATATTAAAAGATGTTAATGTTCACTCATCTTTAAAATGGACTAGTTAGGGGCAAAACTAATAAAACTTCCACTGAGCCTTACTTCCAACTTAAAGCTATGCAATACCACCAACTAATCCTGACCCCAATCTTAACCAAAATACTGCTCTCCTTCACTCCATCTTCTTTTTTTTTCACTGTACCTTCTTGATAGAAAATTGTGTTTTGTATTGAAACAGACACTTCCATGTCTGTTATCCCATGTACCTGTTATATTCCCTTTAAAAAAAAAGTAGATACCAAGGAAATTATAGCAACATGCATCTCATAAATGTAGCAGTATTAACATTTTTATTTATATCATTTTGGATGGAAGCCTCTTTTCTCTGTTAATATATTTGATTATTAAAAAAAAATATGCAATATTTGCATATAAGATATAAATAGAGAATATCAACATGTACAGGAATCCTTAAAAGACAGCCAGTAAGCCAAAAGATTTTCAACCACTTGGTATCCACCTGTGAGTTCTTCCACTATCTGATCTTTATGCCTTCCTTAAACAGATAATGCTATCCTGAAGCCTGCATTTATTGTTCCTTCAATTTTTTTCTGTTTGATAATTTTATAAAATGTGCATCTATGCAGATAATATATGATCTAATCTCATTTTTTTCTGAATGTTGCCAAAAAATATCATGATAGCATATGCCATTACCTGGGACTTTTTCACTCTGCAGGTCTGTATGTTTCTATGATTGAGTGTTGTTGCCTGAAGCTAATGGTTGTTCATGGTCAAAAGGTTGTTCATGGTCACTGCTATGAATATTTGGTTATGTGACATCATAATTTACTTATCCATTCTTACTTCGAACTTTGGTGTTTATTTCTCCTTTCTTTTGTCATTATTATTAATACAGATATTCTTGTGATCTAGTATATAAGTGTAAGGATTCTTTATGTGAATGTTCAACTTTAAAAGCAAATCGAAATCATTTCCCAAAATAAGCATAAGAATCTGTATCTGGCTAGTAATGTATCAATCTCCATTGGCCTCATTTTTCTTTCCTTTTTTTTTTTTTTTTAATTTATTTGCTAAAAAGGCAGAGTTAGAAAGATCTTCCAATTCATTGGTTCACTCCCCAAATGACTATGACAGCTATAGCTGGATCTCCATCTGGGTCTCCCACAAGGGTGGCAGCAGCCCAAGTACTTGGATTATCTTCTGTTGTTTTCCCAGGCACTTTAGCAGGGAACTGCAACTGAAGCAGAGCACCAGAACTGAAACTGGCACTCATGGGATGCAAGTGTCGTAGGAGGTAGCTTAACCCATTGCACCACAACATCAGCCCCTCCGTTGGTCTTCTTTACCACATAAGCTAGTTAAACCTCTTTTCTGCTGGTATATAACTGTGAAATGGCTTCCTGTTAATTCCCCTTTCTTTTTCTAGAAAAGGCTTGTTTAAGGTTTGTGCTCATGTTTTTTGGGCTATTACATTTTTCTGGGTTGTGGAGACTTTTGTTTTTAATCAGTGTTATAGGTTATAAATATCTTCTCCAAGGGTCTGGCTTCTTTTTATTTTCTGTATGATGCCTTTTGATAATTGGAAATTCTTCATTTTAATGTGGTTAAATGTATAGATCTTTATATGAACACTTTATTTTAGGAAATTATTTCTATCCCACTTATAACAATATTCTCCCACTTTTCTTATAAATGTGCAATGTTTAACTTTTCATTCTTCTACCTATCACTGATATCTATATGTGTACTGATATAGGGATTAAATTTATTTTTATTTTTTCTTATGGATAACCAATTGCCTAGCATCCATTCATTTAGTAGTAGTTTCTTTATCAAGTGATCTCTTTCTACATATTCATCCTACATGATACATTATGGTAAATAACTAAATAATTTACATGTGTATGTCTTTTTTTTTAAGATTTATTTATTTATTTGAAAGTCAGATTTACATAGAGAGAAGGAGAGGCAAAGAGAGAGGTCTTCCATCCACTGGTTCACTCCCCAATTAGCCACAATGGCTGGAGCTGTGCTGATCCAAAGCCAGGAACCAGGAGTTTCTTCTGGGTCTTCCACGCAGGTGCAGGGATCCAAGCACTTGGGCTATCTTCCACTATCCAGGAGAGAGCTAGATCAGAGGTGGAGCAGCCAAGACTCCAACCGGCACCCATACAGGATACCAGCACTGCAGGCAGCGGCTTTTACCTACTGCGCCACAGCGCTGATCCCAATGTGTGTATGTCTTTTATCTATAGTTTATATCAGAACATATAAATTATATAAACTAAACTAGATGTATGTATTTGAATATATGTCTACATAGAGACAAATATTTATTACAAATATATTAACCGCTCATAATATGTGTGTATATATGTGACTCTGTAAAGTATTGATCTCAGTCCTTTAAGGAATTTCCCCTCTTACTAGTTTGAGAAATAGTGCTTTTGAAAATATTTTTTCATTCTTTCATATCATTACTTCCAATATGCTAATGGCATTAAAATTTATTTCTTCAAAGCAGAACTTTTCAATCCATATTCGTATATCCAGCTTCTTACTTGACATCTTCGAGTAGGTATTTGACTATCATCTAGTTTGTTTGTTTGTTTGTTTTACTGAGAGCTTCATCTTGCCAAATTTTCATTCTAGAAATTTAAACAATTGATTATTTTCTCTCCCTTATCCCAACATCTGTTGAATTTTTCTATTTTCCTCCAAAAGAGATCTGGTATCTTTTCATTGCTAACTCCATAGTCCAAGCCTCCTTTGTCACTCACCTGGGTTGATAAATAATTATTTCCCAATTAATCTTCCAGTTCTTCATTACTACCCATTCCACAAATTATCCTAGCCATATCTCTGGAGCAAACCACACACTTACCTAGAGACCTTTAATGGTTCCTTATTATCCCTTAGCTAAACCCATTGCACTCCACTGTGGGACCAACTCGTCTTCTGGTTTCTGCTCCTCTATCTCTTATTCATTAGGCTCACATCTTATTGGTCTTTGTCCTCTTTAATTTCATCTTTATTTTCTGAAAGTTTTCCTTAATCTGTTTTTCACAAGGAATGAAAGAGGCATTTTCCATCTTCCATACAACCATAAACTCTGTGAAAGTAGGTGCAGAGATTGTGTATTTTTATTTTGAAGTAAGTTTCATGTTTGGTAGTTGATTTTTTTCCCCCATCTTTCTATGCATACTTCCTTCACATAGAAGACATTTGATTTTTTTTTCCTTCAATGAACAACAAATACCATGTGAACTCATTAATACTTACCTTGAACACAGAATTCTTACCCATATAAATGCATGAATATATTGCAAGGTTTTGTTAGTTTCACCTCAAAGTTTATAAAATATAAACTAATCAACTAGCTGTGTGTTTGTCGTTTTAATTAAAAAAAATGCTTTGACTATTTTCTTTTCTTTTTAATAAGCTACAAAAGATTAATAGCTAGTGAGATAGAAGATCTTAAACTGGAGAACTCAGCACTACACGAAAAAGTGGCCCAGGCTGAAAAAAGTGCTAAAGATGTTCAACATCAGGTATTGGCAACTGAGAATGCTAATCAAGAATATGCAAGGTATGTAGAAGAAATAAAGCCTTCCCACACTGGTAATCTTAGAACTGTTAAGACAATTTAATGTTGTTTAAAGCCAACTGGTAAGTGATGCAGGTAGTTGTTCCATGCCTCTGGTGATTTTAGGTTGAAAATTAAGAATTTATATCAAAAAGTTACAATTCTTGTGTTTGGTTAAGATACCCATCTCACACATCAGAATATATATTTTTGATTCCTGATTCCAATAGCTTCCTGCTAGTGCAGACTCTGAGAAGCAGCAGAGATGGCTCAAGTACTTAGGTTCCTGCCACCCACATTGAGTTCTCTATCTGTAAATCTGGACCTCCTTCCACCCCAGCTGTTGCAAGCATTTGGAGAGTGAGCCAACAGATGGGATTGATCTCTCTCTGTTTTCCTCTCAAATAATGTAAAAGAAAAATTTTAAGGGTTTTTTTTTTTTTTAAGATTTTTTTTTTTAATTTATTTGAAGACAGAGTTACAGAAAGAGAGAGAGAGAGAGAGCCTCCATCTGCTGGTGACCATGATGGCTAGATCCTGGCCAAGTCAAAGCCAGTAGCCAAGAGCTTCATGTGGATCTCCCACATGGGTGTAAGGGCTCAAACACTTGGGCCATCTGCTGCCTTCCCAGGCACGTTAGCAAGAAGCTGGATCAGAAGCAGAGCAGTTAGGAGTCAAACCTGCTCCCATACTGGTTGCTGGCACTGCAGGAGGCAGTTTTACCTGCCACGCCACAATGCTGGCCCCTTAAGTTACATTCTTGAAGAATTTCTTGAATTAAAAAAAAAAGATAAAGTAATTAAAATAGCTATAAAATGTTTATTGGACTCTTCTTTCTCAAACCCAAGGATGCTTCTAGATCTGCAGACCAAGTCAGAACTTAAGGACGCAGAAATTAAAGAAATTGCAGTTTCTTCTGATAAAAAAATAACTGAATTGCAGAATCAACTCAAGCAACAAAATGAAGACTTTAAGAAACAACTGGAAGAGGAAGAATCAAAGTAATCTTATATTTGGAACCTGAGTGCCATGTAATTCACTTTTTTTTCCTAATCAGAAAATATAGTAATTCTCTAATTTTTAAAATATAACTTTGTTATATAGGAAAGCTGAAAAAGAAAATATAATGGAAGAATTAACTGAGGAAGTTAATAAGTGGCGTCTCCTTTATGAAGAATTGTACAAGAAAACAAAACCTTTTCAGGTTTGTCATTTAAGATTAAACCCACTTCTGCTTATTTTAGGAGTTTACTTTGTTCTCCCTTATAGTCATGACAGTGACTTGCTTTCCTGCAATAACATTTTGTTCTGTATTTTCAGTGCACATTTAACTTTCAATTAAGGTTTTATGATTTTTATTAGATTATACATAAATTTTCTCCACCTTCATTGAACTATAATTGGTAAGTTTAATGGACATAAATTTCTTTTTTTAATAAATGATTTAAGCCGGCGCCGCGGCTCACTAGGCTAATCCTCCGCCTTACGGCACTGGCACACCGGGTTCTAGTCCTGGTCGGGGCACCGGATTCTGTCCCGGTTGCCCCTCTTCCAGGCCAGCTCTCTGCTGTGGCCAGGGAGTGCAGTGGAGGATGGCCCAAGTGCTTGAGCCCTGAACCCCATGGGAGACCAGGAGAAGCACCTGGCTCCTGCCATCGGATCAGTGCGGTGCGCCGGCCACGGCGGCCATTGGAGGGTGAACCAACGGCAAAGGAAGACCTTTCTCTCTTTCTCTCTCTCTCACTGTCCACTCTGCCTGTCAAAAAAAAAAAAAAGATTAATAAATGATTTAAAAGACAGTTATAGAGAGGTAGAGATGAGAGAGAGAAGTCATCTTTCTGCTGGTTCCGTCCCCAAATGGCTGCAATGCTGGAACTGAGCCAATCTGAAACTAGGAGTAAGGAGCTTCTTCCAAGTCTCCCACGTGGGTGCAGGGACCCAAGGACTTGGGCTATCATCTGCTGCTTCCCCAGGTGCATTAGTAGGGAGCTGTAAAATGAAAAATAGTATATTTAAGATTTTCTTAGGGAAGCTGTAGAGAGCCCTGAGAAAATGTATGTATCTTCCATTTTAGGTTTTTAAAATTCTCTTTAGATTTTTTATGGATTATATGAAACTAATAAGATTTAACAGTTTAGGATTTTTGTTTAACAGTTCTGGTCTTAACTTTATAATCTCTTCTAGCTACAGCTGGATGCATTTGAAGCAGAGAAACAGGCATTGTTGAGTGAACATGGTGCAGCTCAGGAACAGCTAAATAAATTAAGAGATTCATACGCTACATTATTGGGTCATCAGAATCTGAAGCAAAAAATCAAGCATGTTGTGAAACTGAAAGATGAAAATAGCCAACTAAAATCGGTTTGTAAAGTAGTATTTATTTTTTGAAAGATACTGGGATGGGGATTTTATTAATTTAACTATTTATAAAACTTATTAAAATGAACATCTTTTATATCAGAAAAAAGTAGTTTATGGAGGAAAGTTGATCCTAGAGTTAATGGTTTTATTTTAGAGCATCAATCAGACTAGTATTCAGTGTTCTCAGCTTTTTAACTACCTCTTTAGTATGTTGAAATTACAAAAGTAATGGGAAGAATTCATAAAGCTTTACATATCCATTTCTGTTAGCAAAATAGCAAGCTTCTTGATGTAATCACAATTAAGACAACCGGTATTAAAAAATACTTAGGTATTTAAATTTTCTGACAAATTTGTGAGATTAATTCACATCCTATACAATTTACTCCTTTAAAATATATAATTCTATGGTTTTTATTATAGTCATATAAGTGAAATAATCATCATAGTCAATTTAGAGTATTTTTATCACCTTAAAATGAAATTCTGTACCTTTTACCTTTTATTCTCCTAACTCCTCATTCTACCCAACCCTTCAGCCCTAGGCAGCCAGTTATCTTTATCAAATTTCCTATTGTAGACATTTTTATATTCATGGACTCAAATAATAGTCTTTTGTGATTGCTTTGGTTCAGTTAATATGATGTTTCAGAGCTCATCCATGTTGTTGCGTGTATCCATGCTTCATTCCTTTTTATGGCCAAACAATAATTCATTGTGTAAATATTTAGCATTTTATTTATCTGTCAATTGTTGGACATTCAAATTGTGTTCATGTTTTGTCCTGAATAATGCTACTATAAACATTCATGTGCAAGTTTTTGTATGGGCATATTTTTTTATTTCTGTGGGGTATATAACTGGGCCTGAAATTGCAAGATCATATGGTAACTAGTTTTAATCAATTCGAAAACTGTCAAACTGGGTATAAGGTTTCCAGTTTTCCATGTACTCACTAACATTTGATATTACTTGACCTTTTTATTCCAGCTGTCCTTCTGGATATAAAGCTCTATTTCATTGTAGTTTTTCACTTGAATTTCCCTGATGGAAATGATGTTGATTATTAGCCATTTGTGTATTTTCCTGGGAGGAATGCCTATTCAGATTCTTTGCCCATTTTGAAAAATTGTATTCTTTGATCTTTTCACTGTTGAATTGCGAGAGTTTTTTATACATTCTGGATATACATGTCTTATGTGCAAATATTTTCTGCCATTCTGTGCACTGTCTTTTTACTTTATTAATGTTATCCTTTGAAGCACAACATTTTGTTGAATTCCAATGTATCTTTGTTTTTCTTTTGCTACTTTGGTATCTAAAAATCCTTTGCCAAATCAAAGATCATGAACACTTACTCATAATTTGTTTAATAGCCTGTAGTTTTAGATCTTACATTTAGGTTATTGATCCATTTTGAGAAAGTAGCTTTGTACTTACAGAGATACAAAAAGATTTAAGATCTTAAAGCTTATGTGTTATAGTCATTTTTGCCATTAGGTGTGATACATAAACAACTTTGGAGTTTACCTTGCAATAATGATAACACAGTTCACCAACTTTAATATTCTTTGTTTAATTTCTCTTATAGGAGGTAACAAAACTGCGCTCTCAGCTTGCTAAAAGAAAACAAAATGAGAGAAAACTTCAGGAGGAATTGAATAAAGTTCTGGGTATCAGACACTTTGATCCTTCAAAGGCTTTTCATCATGAAAGTAAAGAAAATTTTGCCATGAAAACTCCATTAAAAGAAGGTAAGAAATGAATAAATGCATAAAAGTCTCATCTTCCTTTAGATTTCCTTTCATGGCATTTAGCAGCTTCTTCATTTATTAACTTTGAAAATTTGTTGACAGCTTTTGATATAAAAGAAATTCTTACTGAAATTGTTTTGTACAATAACTTTTTTCTCCTCTGTATTATTTTTCTCTGTATCTAAATGCTACCTGTCCTTCAGGCCCAAATTACATCTTCTTTAAAGGCTTGCAGGACTTTTTTGCTACCCACATTCCCTCAAATTATTCTCTCTGTAATAACTAATTATTTATTGTATATCTGCTACATCCTTCATTTTCTAAAATTTGTGTTTTTGGAAAAGTAGATTTACTCTTTCCTCATGTTGGATCTTTGTTTATTTCACAACAAATAAAAACTGGTTGAAATAGTGATAAAGGAATATATTCACAAGTAATGCTGCAGAATGTAAGCCTTGCTTCATCTGCCTTAGAGAAGACAGGAGGCCTGTTCTTAGTTTATAATGATTGAGGAGTTAGTTTTCATTTAAAATACTGATAATTTTTTCTAATATCCTTCCAGGCAATACAAACTGCTGCTGAGCTCCTATGGAGAATCAAGAAATCATGCAACATCTGAAAAACCTGTTGAAGATTACTTTATTTTGATTGTTGATGATGATATTGTTGTTACTATTATATTTTAATGGGTTTTTTCAAAAGCTCACTCGAACTTCCTTTTTTTTTTTTTTTTTTTTTTTCTTTTAATCATATTTATTTCGACAGGCAGAGTGACAGTGAGAGAGAGAGACAGAGAGAGAAAGGTCTTCCTTTGCCGTTGGTTCACCCTCCAATGGCCGTCGCTGCAGCCGGCGCACCGCGCTGATCCGATGGCAGGAGCCAGGATCCAGGTGCTTTTTCCTGGTCTCCCATGGGGTGCAGGGCCCAAGCACCTGGGCCATCCTCCACTGCACTCCCTGGCCATAGCAGAGAGCTGGCCTGGAAGAGGGGCAACCGGGACAGAATCCGGCGCCCCGACCGGGACTAGAACCCGGTGTGCCGGCGCCGCAAGGTGGAGGATTAGCCTATTGAGCCACGGCGCCGGCGCTTTATTTGTATTTCATTTAATTGCCAGGGCCGGCACTGTGGTGTAGTGAGTAAAGCCAACACCTGCAGTGCCGGCATCCCGTATGGGTGCCAGTTCCCATATGGATGCCAGTCCCGGCTGCTCCACTACCGTTCCAACTCTGCTATGGCCTTGGAAAGCAGTGGAAGAAGGCCCAAGTCCTTGGGACGCTGCAACCACGTAAGAGACCTAGAGGAAGCTCCTGGCTCCTGGCTTCGGATCGATGCAGCTCTGGCCATTGTGGCCATTTGGGGAGTGAACCAGCAGATGGGATATATCTCTCTCTGAGTCTGCCTCTATGTAACTCTTCCTTTTAAATAAATAAATCAGTCTTTTAAAAAAAATTTTAATTGCCTATCCTTAGTATGTGAAAAAAATTCAATTTTTTAACCAATATGTCTTCTATATTTTTCCTATTGTAAATACTGCCCTCTTAATGCTAATCTTTATCATCTTATTGTAGCCGTATATCTGATTTTCTAGCTTACATTACTCCCCACAAAATCAGTATTCCTTTGAAAATCATCTTCATTATTCCCCTTGACAGTAGCCTTAGTTTCAAGATTATGATTCCATCTCACATTTTTTTAGCTTGATTCTGGAAGTCTTTTTTTTTTTTTTTAATTGATTTATTTATTTGAAAGGCAGAGTTACAGAGAGGCTTACATCTGCTGGTTCACTCCCCAAATGGCCATAGTGGCCAGAGCTGGGCTCAATGCAAAGTCAGGAACCAAGAGTTTATTCCAAGTTTCTCACACAAGTTCAGGGACCTGAGGACTTAGGCTATAGCAGAGAGCTGGGTCAGAAGTGGGGCATCTGGGACTCGATCTGGCACCCGTATGGGATGCCAGCATTGCAGGTGGCGGCTTTACCAAACAGCCCCAGTATATGGAACCTCTTTAGAGAATTTGTCATGTACCATTTGTCATCTGCTTGTCTACTGAGTGTGTAGCATGACAAAAAATTGTCATTTACCCAATTATCCAATTTGAATTTTATAGTTACATTAATGTCTCTATTTAAGATGTATTAATTTAGTGTCTACCCTCCATACTCCACTTAACCCAGAATTCCAAATGACACTTTAGAAAGTGATAATTCTCCCCCTACAATATCTGATTTGCACAGTTGATTTTTTTTTTTTAATTTATTTTATTTATTTGCAAGGCAGACTTAGAGAGGGACAGACAGAGATCCTCCATCTGTTGGTTCATGCCCCAGATGGCTGCAACAGCCAGGGCTGTGTCAGGCTGAAACCAAGAAGCAGAAGATTCTTCCAGATTTTCCATGTGGGTGCAGGGGCCTAAGGACTTGGGCCATCCTCCGCTACTTTCCCAGGTGCATTAGCAGGGAGTTGGATCAGAAGTGGAACAGGGGCCGGCGCTGTGACATAGTAGATTAAGCATATGCCTGAGGTGCCAGCATCCTATATGGGTACCAGTTTGAGTTCTAGCAGTTCCACTTTGGATCCAGCTCCCTGCTGATGGCCTGGGAAAGCAGTGGAAGATGGCCTACGTCCTTGGGCCTCTGCACCTGTGTGGGAGAACCAGAGGAAGCTCCTAGCTCCTGGCTTCAGATCAGCCCAGCTCTCTGGCTGCTGTGGCTTTTGGGGGGCATAAACCAGTGGATGGAAGACCTCTCTCTAACTCTGCCTCTCAAGTAAATGAATAAATATTAAAAAAAAAAAACAAAAACAAAAAAAAAAAAAACGAGTGAAACAGCCGGGTCTTGAACCCATACAGAATGTTGGCACCGCAGGCAGTGGCTTACCCCCTACATCACAGCTCCAGTCCCTCAGGAAAATCTTTAAGCCTAGAAGTTAAAATATTTAAGTAGAGAACCAACACTGTTTTGTTAAAACACAGCTCCAGAAATAGAATTGCAGATATTTTCCGAGAATTACAATTGGATGACAAAAAGACTAAAAGTGCATGGTCATAATAATAGCTCAGCAATTTATAGCTTTTAGAAAGTGCAGCAAGATTTCAGAGAATTTCAACATTTCAGGCCTCGGGACCTACAACATGGGGCAGCGTTGATTGGAGAACTTGAGTTTAACAACGCATATGTTGGCCCTCAACCTTAAAAGATCTTATATAGGTGGGAATAAACTAGTGAGCAAGAAAATGGGAATCCTTCGGGTCAGAGGAACATTAAGGCCGACTCATGCTAGTCTAGATAGAAACTTGGGAGGAAGTTGGAAAACTTGGCCCTGTAGAGGATATGGTTGGTTGTAAAAACAGTTTAAGAGAAACTGTATTAAGACCAGTTCTTGCTAGTGTGTTTTAAAACAGCAGCAAAGGAGTTAGGGGAAATGAGACACATGGTGCCCTTCAGCAGGAAGAGCCAAATGAGACAATACCCCCACCTCCTTATAGTTGAGATGAAAGTGAGGTAGTGAATAAACCCTCGACAGGTCAGGGAAGACAAGTAGGGCCAAGAAGGCCTAGGTAGAAAGTTTGAAAGAGAATACATTGTCTCATTCTCTTGTAAGATATTCTTCCTGCATGAGTGTGGCAAAGAGACTTTGGCTGAAAGAGACAGAGCAGAGAAAGGCCAGGGTGGCTAGGTTCATGAAATATTGGCAAAGAGACGTTGCCACTAGACAAGGCAGGAAAAAGGCTAGAAGACTAGACATGGGGCATTCCTCAGGACACGGTGAGGTTGCTCAAGACTTGCCACTGCTCTTATTCTAGTCCCTTGGTGGTTACTGAATATGTTAACAGAGATCAGCTGCTAGGGGGATTTTGTCTGTATAAAGAAAGAATTTAGATGTGAAACAGTAGCAGTAAGCATGCTAGCCAAGTTTAATGGAAAGAAATAATGCAGAGAATACACCTAACAGGCCAGGAGGGCATCTCAGTAAGGAACTGAGAGCTTGGAGTGGTATTGTGGCATATCAGGTAAAGCCATTACCTGCAACAGCAGCACATCACGCGGGCATCAGTTCATGTTCTGGCTGCTCCACTTCCATTCTAGCTCCCTACTAATGCATTTGAGAGAGCAGCAGAGCATGGCTCAAGTGTTTGGGCCCCAACACCCATGTGAGAGACCCAGAAGATGCTCCGGGTTCCTGGCTTCAGCCAGGCTCAATCCCAGCCATTGTGGCCATTTGGGGAATAAACCTATGGTTGGAAGATCTCTCTCTGTTCCCCCCCGCCCCGTAACTATGTCTTTAAAGTAAATAAAAATAAAATCTAAAAAAAGTCTTCATGAAATTTCCAGGGTTCACAATACTTTGGTGAAGTATAATTATGTAAACATTTTTAGCTTGTTTCCTACTTAATTCAAAAACTTATTTAAAGTTTCCAGAATTGAAAAACTGTTACACAGTAAGCTATTTAAAGTTTACTCCTCTATTTTGGAAGTCCAGATAGCAGGATTACTAGATTCTCTTCCTCTTTTGCTTCATGTTGTATTTAAATGATGTAAGTGATTAGTTCATATGCTGATATCAGATGCTAATCCTTTTTTTTAAAAAACATTTATTTATTTATTGAAAGAGTTACACAGAGAAAGAAGGAGAGGCAGAGAGGTCTTCCATCCATGCTAATCCTTTTAAATTAAGGTTTTTCTTTTTTTGTAACTGACCTAGATAACAAGATTTTTATGCATTTTGCAAAAATTTTCTCCTGTTTTTCTGTTGTTATTGAGCCTTGATTGGAAGACTTGAATCTGAAAAGAGTTGACATTATTTGCCTATTTTTAATGTTGAATGATTAGATTAACTCTGATTAGATGAGGCGCACAGTGTTTGAATACTCAGGTTACATGGAGAAAGCCAGGCTTTGCTAGGTCAAAATATTGTTGTGCCTGAACAGGTACAAACAGAGGAGCACCACACATTGATAAAATTTGATGGTCCTTTATTTCTGGCAGTGGAGAGTGGGCTCATGTCCTAAAGAACTCTCAACCCTGAAGCTTAAAACAACAGGGTTTAAGGCAAAAACCACAAGGAGGGAGGGGGAATACATGTTTGCTAGGGTCAAGCTGACCTAAGGCCTATGCAAAACTGATATCAATTATAATCTTGACAATAGACAAAATCTTAATATTCATCCAGGTACAGCGTATCTGTTTTAAGCTTGAGTGATCATGCTAGGGAGTTTATATGCTCTACCTAGTGGGATGTTAAGTACTGTTATTGTCTGAGTGTTAGATCATAGTTTCAGACCAGAGTCTCATGGAAGGGGGTGCTTTCTCAAGATGGAGAGGGTGTTCACAGAAACCATGTGAAAAGATGGGGGGTGGGTGACCAGCACAGCAGGTTAAGTCACAGCCTGCAGTGTCAGCATCCCATATGGGTACCAGTTAAAGTCCCAGCTACTCCACTTCTGATCCAGCTCCCTGCTAATGTGCCTGGGAAAGCAGCAGAGGATGACCCAAGTGCTTGGGCCCCTGCATCCATGTGGGAGACCCGAAAGAAGCTCCTGGCTCCTGCCTTTGGCCTAGCCCAGCTCTGATTGTTGCAGCCACTGGGGGAGTGAAGCAGTGTATAGAAGACCCATGTGTATGTGCTCTCTCTCCCTGCCTTTCAAATAAATAAATCTTAAAAAAAAAAAAAAAACCTCAGGGCCTTACACATACCTGGCCAGGCCC